TCGTCCCATCGCCGCCGCCGCCGCCGCCGTCGTCGTCGCCGCCGTCGCCAGTCCCGCCGTCGCGCTCGCCACGGGCGGCGGCCGCGTCCTCGGCGGCTCCGGCAGGTTCAATCGAAACGCCTCCGCCTCCGCGTTGATCCCCGGCTTGATCCGCTCCATCTCCTTCATGCACTCGAGCGTTTCCTTCTCGTACGCGACGCATCGCGCGAGTTGCGCGCTCGTTTTCCAGTCGCGATGCTTCCCCGCGACCTCGACGACGAACCCGCAGTACGTCATGAGGATCCTGAACAGCTCCTGCTGGTTCTTCTCCTCGCGGTAGATCGCCGCCTGTGGCGCGACGGCGCGCGGAGAGAGGGTCGGCGACGGCGGCGGGGAGAGGGGAAGACGAGCGGGCGGGCGGGGCGGAGCGAATGAATCTCCGAAGAAAAACGGGACAGGTGGCGGACGGACGCGACGGAGGGACGGGGACGCGCCTGGCATCCGATCTGATCCGCGGCCGCGAAGTAGCTCTCGATGGCAACGTTGTGATTCACCGGCTTCTGCCGCGCCTGGACTGCCGCGGATATCTCCGCGGTCGTCTTCGGGTACCAGTCCATCCGCGCCGTCGCGACTGATGAAGTTATTCCCCCAACGTCGACGACGAACCGTTGCCAGCGATCTCACATCAGAGTTAACATCACCGAGGACGACGCCGTAGTTGACCGAGCGCGTCCGCGCTCGCGTCGCCGCGATGCCCGCCCTCGAACGCGCGACGTCCGACGCGATGCCGACGGAGCGCGCGCTGCACGACGCGGCGTCGAGAGGGGACGTGTCGCGCGCGATGGACGTCGTCGAGCGGTGGGTCGAGCGACGCGCGTTTCAGAGCGCGCGAGAGTGCGTCAACGTCAACGCTCGCGCCGCGGACTTGATGCTGCGCGCGCCGCTGCACATCGCGTCCGAGCGCGGGCACGTGGACATGGTGAAGTACCTCCTGAGCGAGGGCGCGGACGTCAACGCGCGAGACGCGGTGCGCGGCCCCCGAAGCTTCGAGCCAGATCCCCCGTCGGGCGCTGGTCTTTGGTCTTCCGCAGAAGCGAACGCGAACGCGCGTTCTCACAGCACATCGTCCCTCTCTCCCTCTCTCCCATCCCCTCTCCGCGCAGGGCGGCGCGCGTCCGCTGCATTACGCCGCGGCGGCGAACCGCGCGGCGGCGTGCGACGTCCTCATCGACGCCGGCGCGGACCCGAGAGCGAGGGACGCCGTCGGGGAAGCGCCCGCGCACTGGGCCGCGGCGTACGGCGCGCGAGACGCGATCCGAACGTTGCTCGCGCGCGGCGCCTCCGCCGCGGACGCGACGACGAGCGGGTGGACGCTGTCGCACTACGCCGCGCTGAACGGGCGCGACGAGCTCCTTCGCGACGTGTTAAACGGCTCGGGGAAGAGCGTTAAAGAGGGGTTGTTAAACGCGCGCCTCGCGGCGACCGGGGAGACGCCCGCGCACCTCGCGTCGAAGACGAACCAACTCGCGGCGTTGTACCGTCTGATCGTCGCCGGCGCGGACGTCGGCGCGGTGGACGACCGAGGGCGCAAGCCAGCGGACGCGAGTATCGGCGACGGCGCGCGAGCGATGCTGGGGGGAGGGAAGGAGAGGGGGGGAAGAGACGGTGGCGGCGGCGGCGGCGACGACGTCGCGGCGAAGATGGCGGCGATGTCGGTGGCGTCGTCGTCTCCGAAGGCGGCGGCGGAGGCAGCGCCGCCGCCGCCGGCGGCGCCCGCGCGAAGATGGAGCTCGAAGGCGGAGCCCACCGTCGCCGAGACGACCGCGAAGATGCGCGCCGTGACCGTAGACGACGACGACGACGACGACGACGGCGCGAGGGAGGCGCAGCGCGAGAAGATCAGAGACGAACTCAGAGCGCGTCGCGGCGGCGGCGGCGGTCGACGATCGAAACCGCGCGGCAACGCGTCGTTCCTCGACAAGTACGGCCTGGACAACATGAACCTCTTCGCGCGGTGACCGAGCGACGGGCGCCGCATCGCCGTGATGTGCTTCCGTACTAGTCGAACGCGTGCTATTTAAAGTACTAGTAGGTGTGATAGTCGTATGTCGCACCCCGCGACGGCTCAACTCGCGTCGTCGTCGTCGCCGCTCGCCGGGGAGAGCACGAATATCGCGTCGTCTAACACGTACGCGCCGTGCTTCTGATCCCCCTCGCTGATGTACGGCACCCTCGCCAGCCTCTCGATCTTAAACCCCGCGGGTTTCAACACCAGGCTCCACAGCTTGCTCACGCCGTCCTCCCAGCCGCCGTCGGACGGCAGCGGCAGTCGCTCTCTCGGCGGCCGGTTCGAGTTGCCGTCCTCGACGAACGGCCGGAACGGAATCACGACCGCGAGGAGTAACCGCCCGACGCCCGGGCGTAACATCCCGCGCAGCTGCGAGAGCAAGGTGAACGGCGTGTCGCAGCGGTCGAGGACGTTGAGGAGCGCGATCGCGTCGAAACCGTCGGGGGAGAGCCGTTTCACGTTTTCGTTTCGAGCGGCGTCGAACACGCCGGAGACGTCCGCGGCGCCGATGACGCAATCGAAACGCTTGTCTTTCAGGCGTTTCACCATCGGCGGCGACACCTCCGTCGCGACGACGGCGTCGAAGCAGCCGCCGTCGCGCAGTTTTTCGGTGACCTCGCCCTCGCCGGCGCCGACGTCGAGAAGCACGCCGCCGCCGCCGCCGCCGCCGCCGCATCCGGCGTCCCCGCCGCCGCCGCCGTTCGACGCCCTCTTCCTCCCCAGCAGATCCTCCACGTGCGCGCGCGAGAGCACGTGCATCTTCCCCCTCCCCAAGATCGCGTTCGCGTCCGTCAGCGACATGCGCTTCCGCAGGTACGAGCACGCGACGGACGCGCCCCAGTTCACGACGTACGGGCGACGGCTGCTACGCATCAAAAACGCGTTCGTCGCGTCGTCGCGCTCCAACGGCGCGAACGCGCGATTAAGCTCGTCCGGGAGCCGCGCGCGGACGCAGTCGTAGTCCAGCTGCGTAGGCGTGAGCTTCGCGTTGCAGTGCGCGCACATCACGCTGAGGGTCTCCACCGCGCCGTCCGCGGGAACGCCGAGCCACGAGCGGACGAGCTCCATCTTGCCGCTGCCGTCTCGCGGGCGGCCGAGGATCGGGCCTCGGACCGCGCGCTCCTCCGCGTTCGCCCTCGCCGCCGCGCCGCCGCCGGCGCGTCTTCTCGAACCGCCGCGCGGCGCGGGGGGACGGCGCGCGCGGTGCGACGGAGGGCGAAGACGCGAGGGCGCGGGGGTCGGCGCGCGCGAGCCGAGCGGCATGCGCGGCGGGGCGCCACCGCGAGTGGCCGTCAGAGGGCACCTGCTGCGCTCAGGCCGAGGCGCGCGAACAGAAGCCGAGATCTGCGATGCGAGATCGCGAACCACGACGCGTCCTACTCAGCACTTCGATCAGGCGCGGAGCACGATGCGGTGGCGCGTCGCGAGAGGGCTCGCGGGCGCGTACGCCGCCGCGGAGGCGTGGTGCTTCACGTCGCATCGCTACCGCGTCGCGGACATGGACTCCGCGAAGAGGTGCGCGCCGCGCGGCGTCGCCGCCCGTCCGTCGTCGTTCGAAAAAAAAATACAAACGCGTCTGTCTGGTTTCTTCCTCGCGGCCGATCCCACCGATCGCTGATGACCTTCCCCCCCCCTTCCTCCCCCGAAAATCTTCAATCTTCATCAGCCGCAAGCTCGAGGAAGGTTTCGACTACGAGGGCCACTACCGATGGTTCGCCAGGGAGTTAAAGCACGAGCCGAACCCGCGACGGCTGTTCACGGACGCGTTCAACGACACGCCCCCGGAGTCCATCCCGCGAAGGAGCGCCGTGGAGATGATCTCGTACTTCCTCACCGCGAAGGAGACGGACGAGTTCGAGGGAGGGGAGTACCCGAGCGACGTGACGCGCAAGTCCGAGGCGCTTCTGAGGAGTCTGGAGAAGACGAGCGGGCTGAAGTTTCGCGCGGACGACGCCGCGGGCGAGGGAGGGGCGGGGGAGAGGAGAGAGAAAGAGTCGACGACGACGACGACGACGACGACGACGACGACGACGACGACGACGTCGAAACCGAAACCGCCGCCGACGCGCGCGAGCGCGATCCGCGACTGGCTCGTCTTCGGCGGCGGCTCGTCCCTCGGCGGCGTCGAGGCGGAGAACGACCTCGCGGACGGGATCGATTTCATACGCACGAACCGCTTCGAGCTCAACGCGTATTACAAACCGATTCCGCTGCGCGCGGTGATCGCCGGCTTTCGCGCGTACTCCGCGCGGCGATTACGAAACGCGGGGTTCCGCGCGGTGAAGGACGACGCCACGGGCGCGGTGCTGTGGACGCGGGGGGTGGATGTGAATACGAACCGTCGCGGCGGCGACGGTTCGGATCCCGACGCCGACGCCGACGCCGCTTCGGACGACGACGACGGGGAGAAGACGAAGACGCGTCGTCGTCGAGTCGACGCGGAGCCGTACGATCCGATCGTATTTCTCCACGGCCTAGGCATCGGCATCGCGCCGTACGCGGACTGGATCGCGTCGCTGCCGAGGGACCGCCCGGTCGTCGCCCCGGAGTGGCCGAACATCTCCTACGGCGCGGACGTGGGGCATAGGTACCCGCATCCGGGCGAGTTTGCGGATTTTCTCGAACGCGCGACGACGGAGGCGGCGCGCGAGGCGAGGGCGGCGTTGGCCGAGGGAGAACCGAAGAGAGGGAAGAAGGAGAGGATGACGACGACACCGCGGCGGCACACGTGCGACGTCATCGCGCACTCCTACGGCACCGTCGTCCTCACCGCGTTTCGTCGGCATCACCCCGACAGCGTCCGGCGATGCGTCTACGTGGACCCGGTGTGCTTCCTCCCTTCGTTCGGGTCTTACCTGCGATACGGCCACGACGACCACCTCGCGACGTGGACGGAGATGCTCGAGCACTTGTTCGCGCGCGCGGCGGACCCGGGCGAGCCCATGAGCGTCGCGAACCTCGTCCTCGCGTCGTGGTTCGTGAAGGGCGACGCCAATGTGCAACAGCTGATGAAGCGCTTAATATTCCCGCACGAATCGTGGGAACGCGGGCCGCTGTGCGAGCGCGACATGGTCGTGTTGAGCGGACTCGACGACATCGTCGCGTCCGACGAGATACACGCGCGGTTCACGCGCGCGTGGCCGAAGTGCGCGGTCGTCGTGCAGCCGCAGTGGCAGCACGGCGGGTTTCTATTGGAGCCGGATCCCGACGGCGTCAACGCGGGCATCGTCAACTTCGCGACGGGGTCGACGCCGAGGGCGCGCGCGCGCGGGGCGGGCGCGGGCGCGGCCACGGGGGGGGTGAAGCGCGCGTGGCAGATGGCGTTCGCGAAGAGGAAGAAGCGGAACGACGGCGCGGCGGCGGCGGCGAGGGGGAAGACGAAGTCGGACGCGGAGGACGCCGCCGCGGCGGCGGCGGCGTGAGTTTGCTTTGATCGAACATCTCGAATAATAATACGAGTACACGTATCAATAACAACGCGACGCAACTCGACAACCAACAAAACATCAACGACGGCGCTAAAGCACGACCACGACCACGCGCGAACCGACCGGGGGGACGACTCCACGAGCGTCCGGCGTCACATGTACTTGATGATCTTCCGCCCGAGCGGGGTGCTGAAACACCCGCGTTTGGGATACGAGAACCCGTCGCCGTCGCCGTCGCCGTCGCCGTCGCCGTCCCCCATCCCCGCGCCGCCGCCGCCTCCGCCTCCGCCGCCGCCATCCCGTCGCATCGAGCGCATCCGCTCCACCAGCGGTGTCGTCTCGTCCGCTCTGTCGCCGGGTCCTCCCCCCTTGTACTTCCCGGGGCCCTTCCCGGTCGCGATGATCCCTTGGCCTCTGCTGAGGGTCGTTCCATACGAGCGAACGTCGGGGTGGAGTTCATAGGCGTCAGATGGAGTTCAAAGGCATCGAGGTCGGGGATTGAAAGCGAGGGGTGGGCGGAGAGATGCGCCGGGAAAAGTCCTTAAGGAACGGCGTTCACCACGCCGACGCGGTCGTATGGGGACCAGTGTATAGAACGCACCTGAGGTCGTAATACAGGTTCATGACGAAGATGACAACCTCCAACCCGTGCCCGACGAGCGGCGGCAGCCACGTCGATATGTCCTCGCCTGGGTGGAGTTGAAAGGCGTCAGAAGCGGAGTTGAAAGGCGTCGAGGTGTGTCGGGATCGAAAGCGAGGGACCCTGGGCGGAGAGGAACGACGGCAAAAGTCCTCAAGGAACGGCGTTCACCGCGCGAACGCGGTCGTATGGGAACCAGTGTATAGAACGCGCCCAGGACGAGCTTCTGTATCGTCGCGCCCAGCCCGCCGCCGATGCACAGAAAAAACCGCACGTACGACAAGCTCCCGCTGCCCTTGTTTACGTACGAGCTGTACACCTGCGGCAGGTACCGCGTCGCCTCGAGAACGCCGTTGACCACGCCTAGCGTCATCGCGTACGTCTCAGGGTCGTTTGATTGGTGGGTGATGTGGCGGGAAGTGATGTGATTGGTTAGTTATTTGATGACGTGGATGTTTGATTGGACGAGAGCGACGGAGAGACACGCCGGGCGAAGTCCTTAAGGATCGGCGTTCACCACGCCAGCGCGGTCGTATGGGAACCAGTGTGAGAAGAACGCACCTCGTACTCGTAGCAGTTCCCGCGTAACACCATGCCGACGACTGGCGCCGCGAGTCCGACGCACGGGATCACGTGCGCCCAAAACCCGATCCTCGCGTTCTGCCTCCGCGTCCGCGTCGCGCCGCAAACCTCCTCGGTCTCCTCGTCCGAGCAGTACCTCGCCGCGAGCGTGTACACGGGGAACCACAGGATCGTCCACGTCGCGGTGTAGTAAAACGTGAGCAGCGACGTGTTGCAGTCGTCGAATCCCATGTCCCCGCGGACGCACTGCTTGATCTGCTCGTAGTGCAGGATGAAGATGTTCAGCGTCGCGGTCACCGCGGAGACGTTCAGAAGCGCGAGCGCGGTGAGCGAGTTCCCCTTGTCCGTGGCGAGGACGATCAGCTTGATATACTGCGGGATCGCTCCCGCGACGATGGCGAGGATCGCGAGGATGGTGAGAACCTCCGCGCCTCTCCACGCGTCGTGGGTTTCGACGAAGCAGTGCGTGTCGTCCGCGCTCGGCGGCGGCGGCGGCGGGTACGCGCTCGCCCCGAGCGACGCGCCATACGCGTACGACGGCGCCGGGGACTGCCCCAGCGCGGACGTCGCGGTTGCGGCGGCGGCGACGTCGCCGCCGTAGTAGAGCGATTCTAAAAAGTTCGCGTGCACCATTCTCGAATTATTCGGTCGCTCGCGCGCCGCTCGATCGAGCCCTCGCCTCGACGCCGCCTCCCGCGCGCCTTCGCGAGCGGCCTCGCTTTCGACGCGCGACGACGGACGCGGAGCGCGCCGGTGACGCGTGCGACGCGTCGGGCGAGCGCGCGCCGTCGAGTGACGAGATGTCGACGGGCGCGTTCGACCTGATGAGAGGACGCTGTTCGTCCTTCCTTGGTCCAGGCCGCGCCGCGCCGCGCCGCGCGCTCGTCGCGCGAAGCGACGAGCGCGCGCGCGACCACCGCTGACGCGACTAACAACGCGCACAGACTCCCCGCGCCCCGTCCCCCCCGCGCGCGCATGCGCCCGCATCACGCCGCGAAACTCGTCCGCGCGGCGACGTCGTTGTCGTCCTCCTCGCGCGGGTTGCGCGCGCGTCTCCACCCGCCGCGCCTCGCGTCGTCGTCGTCGTCGTCGTCGCCGCGATCGCGAACGCCGTCCGTCTCGACGACGACGCGAGCCGTCATGGGCTCCAGCTCGAGGTTCGCGGACGCGTGGGGGCGGTCGCGTCCGAACCCCGCGGTCGAGGCTGAGCTCCGCGAGAAGAAGAAGGCGACGAGGAAGGAGGTGAAAGAAGCGCTCCGAGAAATGAGCGCGGAGCGCCGCGCGGAGGACGGCGCCGCGATCGCGTCGCGGCTGCTCGCGACGCTGCCGTGCTTCCGCGTCGGCGCGAGCGACGACGAGCGCGAGGACAAGCGCTTCGCGCTGTACGTGCCGTGCGAGAAGCTGATGGAGGTGGACGCCACGCCGATCATCGACGCCGCGCTGAGGTTGCCGTACTCGCGCGTGTACGTCCCGGTCGTGGACGGCGCGGCGAACGCGGAGGACGACACGCCGCCGCGCATGCGCTTCCTCCGCGTGACCGATCGCGCGAAAGATCTCGTCGCGAAGGAGCTCTTCAAGGGGGTGGAGATCTTGGAGCCGACGGAGACGACGGCGGACGGCGCGCCGCGCGAGGACGTCATGCACGACGACGACGAGGACGTCCCTCTGGATTATATCGTCGTCCCGGGGATGGCGTTCACGCCGAACGGCGACCGGTTGGGGCGCGGCGGCGGCTTCTACGACGCGTTCCTGACCGCGTACGACAGGCGATGCAAAGAGAAGCAGTGGACGACGCCGACGCTGATCGGGCTGTCGTTTACCGAGCAGATCTTGTTGCAAGGGACGCTGCCGGTGGGTGCGCGGGACGTCGGAATGGACGTGATCTTCACGCCGAACAGCACGGCGACGTGCACGTCGAAGGGGATACGGCTCGTCACGAGTTTCAAGGACCCGGAGTGATGAGCGTACGGTAGCGAGTGCGTACGAGTAGAAGAGGAAGAAGTTTGATGAAAGTTTATTTTCCTTCCAGTCCCGAGTTGAACAAACGACGGCGTCGCCGCCGCGCGTGATGAAAAGAGAAACGCCCCACCCACCCACAACACCCACAACACCCACCCACCCCCGCACTGCGCACCGCACCGCGCACGTCACGTCACCTAACGGATTCGGTTCGAATCGAATCACTTACGCGCCTTGGCCAACGCGCTCAGCAGCGCGCGAACCGCCGCGATCGCGAGGCCGAAGAGCGCAAACTTTTCGCGCCGCTTCGCCGCGCACTTCTCGCGGTTCGCCGCCGCCAACGCCGCGTCCGCCGCCTTCAGCGCGCTCTCGAGGCTCTCCGTCCGCATCTCGAGCCCGGTCACCTCGACGCACATCGCGTCCGCGCGCGCGGCGGCGTCGCTGGCGTCCGCCTTGAGCGACCGCGACACCGACCCGGAGATTTCCTTCATGCGTCGGAGATCGTTCGACCTCCTCGCCAACTCCGCGTTGGCCGCGTTCACCGTCGCCCTCGCGGCGACGAGCTCCGCCGCGAGCTCCGCGACGTGCGCGTCCGCCTTGGCGACGACGCGCGCGAGCTCCTTCTCGTGACGCTTCGCGTCCTGCTCGCGAAGCGTCGCGTTCGCGGCGTTCGCGGTCGTCAGCGCCGCGTTCGCCGCGGCGAGCGCGGACTCGAGCTTCGCCGCCGCCGCGCGCTGCGTCGCCGCCTCGTGCTCCGACGCCGCGTGTTTGGCCATCGTCTGCGCGAGTCGTTTGTCCGCTACGGCAACCTTCGCGGTCGCGGCGTCCTCCGCGGCTTTCACCGCCTTGGCCGCGCGCGACGCCGCGGCAGCCATCTCTCTCTCCGCGGCGCACGCGCGCTTCTCCGCGGCGGCGGCGGCGGCGGCGGCGGCCGCGCTCGCCTTGGCGCTCCGCGCCGCGTTCTTCTTCGCGTCGGCGATCTCGCGCTTCGCCGCGGCGGTCTCCTCCTTCGCGGCGGCCTTCGCCGCGAGCGCGTCCGCGGTCGCCGCCTTGGCGCGATCGTTCGCGCGCGCCGCCTCTTTCGCCGCGGCGTCGCGCGTTTTCGTCGCATCCGCGGCGGCGTCGCGTTCGGCTCTCGCGAGCGCCTTCGCCGCCGCCTCCGCCTTCTTCGCGCCGGCGATCTCGCCGTGCAGCTTCGCCGTCGTCGCCTTGTGCTGCTCGTGCTTGTGCGTCGCCGCGATCTTCGTCATCTTGAGGACGTTCTCCAGCTTCTCCGTCTTCGCGGTCTCTTGCGCGTGCGCCTCCACCGCGGCTTCGAGGTCCATTCGGTGAATTTCCTCCGACTCGGCGAAGGCGTTGGTCAGCTTTACGCATTCTTTTTCGAGCATCTTGACGCGCTTGTCCTTCGCCGCGTTCGCCTCCGCGGCGGCGACGAGCGCGTCCGAGGCGGCGGTGAGGCCGGCGCAGGAGTCCTTCAGCTCGCACGCCGCGGCGTGGAGCTTCGCGTCGAGCGACTTGACGCTCTCCCTCGCGTCTTTCAGCGCCGCGGATTCCTCGAGGAGCTCCTGGAGGGCAATCTCCAAGCGGGAAGATAACGCCTGTTTCTCTTGCGTTACCTTTTCCAGCACCCCCGCGGCTTCCTTCTTCTGCGACTCCAAGTTACCGTTCATCGTGAGCTGCGCGGCGGCCGCTTTCGCTTCCGCGTCCGCCTCCGCGGCTTGGGCTTTCGCGACGGCGATCTCCTTCTCCGCGATTTTCTTCGCGGTTTGTTTTTCAATCCTCGCGAGCTCCGCGTGCTTCTCCGCAACCTGCGCCTTCAGCGCCTCCGCGTTCGCCGCGTGCGCCTTAACGCTCGCCTCCGCGTCTTCCTTTGCCTTCTCCATCTGCGCGCGCGCGAGCTCCGCGCGGCCAAACTCCGCGCGCGCGCGTCGCGCCTCGCTGATGAGCCGGCGGTTCAGCTCTTGCAAATTCGCGCGTTGCTCCTCGACGCGTTCGCGATCGGCGGCGAGCTCGGAGTGCCGCTTCAGCGCCGCGGCCGCGTCGCTCGCCGCCTTCGCCGTCTCCGCCTTGGCCTCCCTGAGCTTGTTCAGCACGTTCACGTTGAGCGCTTTGAGCGAGTCGCGTTGATGCTCCGCGTCCGACAGTCTGGCCGCGGCGTCCACGGCGTGCGCCGCGTGCGCCTCCGACGCCTCCTTCATAAACTGCAGCTCGCTCAGCGCCTGCGCGTTCGCCGCGAGGAGCTCCGCTCGGGCGTGGATGACGCTCTTCAGCATCTCGTGCGCCGAGGCTGCCGCCTTCGCGGAGCCTTCGCTGCTGTTCTTCGCGTCGTTGGCCTCCGCGCGCGCCTTTTTTAACTCTGCGAGAAGTTTCGCGTTGAGCGCCTTGAGTTGGTCACCCGCGTCCGCGACGCCGACCGAGTCCGCCTGCGCCTGCTTCAGCGTCCTCACGAGCTTCGCGTTCACCTCGCGCAGCATCTCGTTCTCCTTAGCGGCGGCGACTTTCGCCTCTTGCATCGCCTTGGCGTGCTTTTTGAGAACGTTCGCCTCCGCGGCGGCGACGGCGGCGGCGGACGCCTTCTTCGCCGCGCGCAGCTCCGTCGTCAGCGACGCGTTCGTCGCCTGAAGCCCGTCGCGCTGCGACTCCGCGAGCTTCATCGATTCCGAGAGCGTCGCCCCCGCGGCGTTCATCGACTCCATCGCGTCTCGAGACTCCTTGAGTTCCGCGAGCGCGCGGTCGTTGAGCGACTTCAACGTCGCCGAGTCCCGGCGTTCCGCGTCGGCGGAGGCGCGAAGATCCGCCGCGTGCGCGTTCGCCTTCGCCGCCGCCTCCTGCGCTTTCGCCGTCGCGGTGAGCGCGTCCGCGATCTGAAACGCGTACTTCGTCTCCGCCTTCTGAAGCGCCTTGGCGAGCTCCTTGGACGACGCCTCGTTCGCGGCTCTGAGGGAATCGATCTCCGCCGCGGAGGACGACGCCTCGAGCTTCGCCGCCTTGAGGTGCGCGATCATCTTGCGGTTAAGCTCTCGGAGCGCGTCGTTCTGCGTCGTGAGCTTCTCCACGGACTCGCCGTTCTCGACGCTCGCGGACGCGTTCGCGGCGGCGGCGTCGGCGGCGTCCTTCGCGCTGACGCGCGCGTTCTTGAGCTCCGCGAGGAGGCGCTTGTTGAGGTCGCGGAGTTTGTCGTTCTCGTCCGCGACCTTGTCGAGGGACTTTTCGGCGGCCGATGTCGACGATTTCGACGATTTCGTCGGCGTCGCGTGCGCGTTCTCGTCTTGATACACGACGCTCTTGGACTTCTTCGAGAGCGCGGACTTCGCGACCGCGGAGGCGCCCAAGACGGACTTGCTGCGCGTCGAGAACGGCGAGAGCTTCGCGTCGTTCGAGCGGTCTTGAAGGGGGGAAGACGTCATCGTCGTCGCCATCGCGATCGTCCTTCGTGTCGTGGTTTTTTTCGTCTCGGAAGAAGATCTGCGACGCGTCGATGCGTGCGACGGAGCGGAGTCAGCGGCGGGCGCGTGTATTTACAGGTGCGCGGCGGTGCTCGACTCGAGAGCGATGGCGTTGAGGGTAGTGCTGCGTGCGCGCGGCGCGGAAGGCGTCGTGCGGGTGCGGGGTGCGTGGATAGCGTGCGCGTCTCGGAATGTCACGAAATTCCAGACTCGCGCGACCGAAAAGGCTCGTCCCCCCCCGATTTTCGCGCGACAGCTCGTTTGAAAAAAAACCGACCGCCGTCGCTCGCGAGCGCCCTCCCGAAGCGCGACGACGGGCGACCGACGGCGAGACGACCGCCTCTCGCGATGATAAATTATCGTCATTCATGTGTACACCACGCCCGACTATCCCTACGGTCCCTCTCGCGTCCCCCGCGGCGCGTCCTCACCGCGCCCAAATCGCCGCGTCCGCGCCCGCGCCAGCCGTGCGCGAATCGAAGTCGACGTCGTCCTCCAAGTCCGACGACTCGATCGACGACGCGGTGTCCCACCCGCCAAATCGCGCGACCCCGGGACCGATGCCGCCGCCGGCACCGCTCGCGTCCATCGTGATGCGATCCGGCGGGACGTACTTCAGGTCGTCGCCGCGGAGGAAGCGGCGACCAGCCGCCGCCGCCCCCTTCTCGCCGCCGCCGCCTTCGTCGCGGGAGGAATCGCGCTTCTTCGCTTCCTCGCGCTTCGCGAGCTCGGCTTCCTTCTCCGCGGCGGCCGCGGCGCGCTTCACCGCGGCCGCGATGAACGCCGCGGAGTCTTTCCGAGCCTTCTCCTTCTTCTCTTCGCCGACGGCGTCCGACGCCCTTCTCCGCGCCGCCGCCGCCGCCGCCGCCTCCGCCGTCCCCGCCGGCTTCGTCAACGGCGCCGGCACGGACGTAAACTTTGTCGTCGTCTCAACGTTCGCTTCGAGTGCGTTACCACCACCACCGCCGACGTTCGCAGGGAACAGCGGCACGCGGAGCGCGTCCGGAAGCTTCGCGGTGCCCACCCTCCACGTGATCCCGGGCGATCGCGGCGACGGCGGCGTCGCCGGGCTCGGCGGCGCGTCGCTTCGCATCGCCCGCCGCCGCGCGAGCCGCGCGTCTTTCAATCGGCGCACGGCCTCGTCTCTCGGCGTCCCGGGCGTCGCGGGCGTCGCGGGCGCCGCGCCGCCCGCCGTGCCGCCCGTGCCGCCCGGGAGCTGCGCGGTGAGCTCGTTCGACGCGAAGACGTCGGCGTCCGCGGAGTCGCCCAGGCGCGCGTCCTTCGCCTCCGCCGCGGTGTACGCCGGGAACGTCTCGTCGTCGATGTTGGGCGAATCAGGGGGCGCCACGTCGGATTTCGCGGGCGACGCCGCGGAATCGGATCCGTTCTCCGACGCCTCCTCGGGCGAGCTCGCGTCCGCGTCCGCGGCGGCGCTCGAGTTGGAGTCGGAGCGCACCGCGTCGAGGTCCTCGCCGGATTTTTTCACCGGCGACGGCGACGGCAGCGGCTCTTCGCTCGGCTCGACGTCCACGACAGGGGACTCGTCCCCGCGGTCCAGCACGGGCGCGCGGAGCGACGACGAGTCCGGCGGCACGCCCTCGACGACGAGCGGCGGTTCAGCTCCGGCGTCGCCTTCACTCCTGGGACCCCCCTCGTCGCCGTCGCCGTCGCCTGCTGAGGACCATTCCATACGAAGCGATGTCGGGGTGGAGTTCATAGGCGTCAGTTGGCGTTAAAAGGCGCCGAGGACGGGGATTGAAAGCGGGGGGTGGGCGGAGAGATGCGCCGGGCAAAGTCCTTAAGGATCGGCGTTCACCACGCGAACGGGGTCGTATGGGGACCAGTGTATAGAACGCGCCTGAACGTGCGATAAGCCCGGGTAAGTCCGACGTCGAAGCCATCAACGGCGCGTCGTCCTCCTCGCCGCCGCCCTCGGACGACGCGAACGTCTCCCGCGACGTTCCCTCCTCGCACTCTCCCTCTCCCTCTCCCGAGGGACCCGCTCCGAGGAGTTCCGCGCGGCGTTGCCGCAGCCGCTTCGTCTCCGCGAGCAGAAGCCGCTCCGCCGCCGCCGCCGCCGCCGCGGCTTTCGTCGCCGCCTCCGCCGCCTCGGACGCGTTTCTCTGCGCCGCCTCCGCGGCCGCGATCGCGGGCGCGGCCACCTTCGCGGCGGTGGAGACGATCAGAGACTGTCTCACGGCTTCTTTCGATCGAATGCGCTCGCGCTCGCGGAGCGCCTCCGCCTCTTTCGCGCGCGCGGCGTCCGCGAAGACGTCCTCCAGCGTCCGCTTCTTTTCCTCCGTCTTCGAGGGCGTCCCGCGCTGCGCGGACGGGTCGTCCTCGAACCGAGAGGTCTCGTTCGGGTCCTCCCACACGTCCGGGTCGCGCTTCTTCGCCGGCGCCGCGTTCGCGGTCGGCTTCGGCTTGTTCCCGACCGACAGGTTGAACGGTCGCACCTCGGTCGCGAGACCCTTTCGACCCGTCGCTTTCGACCCCGGATGCTTCGGCGGCTTGGCGACTTTGCGACCGAACGCGACGTCCTTCGCCTTCTTCGCGGCGGCGGCGCGTCTCTCCTCCGCCATCTTCTCCGCGCCCGCGCGCGTCGCGTCATCCTCCTGTCTCGCGCGCTCCGCGGCCGCGCGCGCGGCGGCGGCGGCCTCGTGTCGCTCCGCGCGTCTCGACGCGAGCGTGGAGGACGTTCGAACCGCCGTCGGCGGAGGCGGAGGCGGGCCGTTCGGGTCGAGCGCGTACGTCGCCGTCGACGTCAGCGTCGCCGCGGGCTTCGTCGCCGCCGCCTCCTGCTCCACCTTCTCTTTCGTCGTCGGTCGCGTCGGTCGCGTCGGTCGCGTCGGTCGCGTCTTCTCCGCGGTGAGCGGCGGCTCCGCCTTTTTCTTCGCGACGTCGGACTTCTTCGACGCCGCCCTCGGCGCGGCAAGGAACGAGCTCGTCGGCTTCGCGGCCGCGGGGTTTTCGCCGGGCCCAACGCGCGACCCGGGGTTCGAAGAAGCGGGGTACGGCACCGGCGCGCCGGACGACGCCTTCGTCATCTGCTCCGGGAGCTTCTTCACGCGCGGGTCCACCTTGTGCCGGCGCGCGGCGCCGTGTCTCGCGGACCACCCCGCGCCGCGCGGGAGCGTTCGCATGATCTTCACCGCCTCCTGATGCACCGCCGTCTTCGACGCGAATATCCTCGTCGCGATCTCCGCCTGAATCGCAGTCTTGAACCCGTAAATGTCGAGTTCGACGTCCATGGGGTCCTGCGTCGCGGCGGCGGCGTCGTTTCGAATCCCCGCCGCCGCGTTCGCGATCTCTTCGTAAAACTCCGGCGTCCTCGGCTTGGGCTGCGCGCCGGCGACCGTACTCCCGCCGCGCCCGTCGCCCTTGGCCGACTCCGCGGCTCTCCGTAACTCCGCGTAATCGATATGCCCGCCGAGGAGCTCCTCCACCTTCTCGCGCGCCTCGCGCTTCCGCGCGACGTGCGCCTTCACCTGCGCGTTCATCACCGCGCTCCACAGCGGCTGCCCGCCGACCTGGACGCCGCGCACCGGGTCCAACGCGCCGAGCGCCTCTCTGGCGCGCGGCTGCAGCGACACGCGATTGGTCCCCGGCGCCGACGTGGCGTCCACGTCACCGGGATAATACGATTTCTTCGCGGGCGAGCTCGGTGCCGCGCGAGCGACCGCGGGCATCGGCGGCAGCGCGGACGCGGCGGCGCGCGACGGCGACGGCGCCGTCGACGGCCGCCGCTCCCTCGACGACGTCCGCGGCGTCGGCGTCGGCACCGCGACCGTCGCCATCAGCCTCGGGGCTTCGAACGAGACGTCGTGCGCGTTCGCGTTCGCGTTCGCGTTCGCGTTTCCCTCCTGGGCGCCGTCTTCTTCCGCCTCGGCGCCGTCCGCGAACAGCGACGGCTCGGGAGAGAGCTCCGGGACGATCGACGGCGGGACGTCGTCGGGGGACAACGCCGGCGGCGCGTCGCCGTCGCCGGCGCCCCCGGCGCCGCCGGTGAACGCCTCGAAGTTGCTCTTCAACTCCCTGAGCTCGCTCAGCATCGCGGGCACGGCGGCGGCAGCCTCCGCGGCGACGCCGAGCGACGCGCGGAGGGTCCCGTAGCTCACGTTGGACGCGGGCCCGGGCCGCGCCGCCGCCGCCGCCGCCGCCGCCGCGTCGTCGACTTTTTGAAACGCAAACTCCGTCGACGGCACCGCGTCTTCGACCGTCCCCTCCTCCTCCTTCGCCTCCGCCTCCGCCTGCGCGTCGATCTTCCCCGCGATCGGCGATATCTGCGTCGGCGAGTCGTCCGCGGCGGCGTTCGAAGACGGCGACGCGTCCGACGCCGGGGAGTGATGAAACACGTGCCGCGCGACGACGGCTTCGCGCGCGGAATCGTCGCGCCCCGTCGGGTCGGGACGCGGCGTCGTCTTCGCCGCGCTCGCCGCCTCGGGCCAGTCCGCGACCGGCGTCCGCGGCGGCGCGCCGCCAGGGGTCGGGGTCGTCGCCGTGGAAGCGCCGCCGCCGCCGCCGCCGCCGCCGTATATCATCTTCAGGACGCCCTTGAGGTACTCCTGCGCTTCGTCGTCGTGCGCGTCCGCGCCGAGGGACGCCATCGCCAACGCTTCGGTCGGGCGCGCGAGATCCGCCAGCGGCGTCGCCGGCGTCGGCGCCGCGCCGCTTCCTCCTCCTTTCCCTTTCCCCGCCGGGGTCGGGGTCGCGACGCCGCGCTTCCGCCTCGCGTCGTCCACGACCAAGGACGCGCGCAAGCCTCGCTCCGCGTCGTTCAGCGCCTCGCGGACGCTCTGCGTCAACGCGTCCGTCACGGCCACCGTCTTCGCCGCGCCGTCCTCGTCCTTCTCCTCGTCCCTGTCCCTCGCCGCGAACTTCGCCATGACGTTCGTCACGACCGGCGGCGTCTTCATCTCCATTCGCCGCGTCGCCTTCCCGGCCGCGGCGACGGCGTCGAACGGCGACGCGTCGTCGTCCCACGCCGCGTCGTCGTCCGCGTCGTCGAGAAGATGCGCGGGCGTCTCCGGGACGACCGAAGGGTTCGTCAGCTCCATGACGTATCGCCGCCGCTCCGCCCTGAGCTTCGGCGCGGCGAACGACATCGCGTTCGTCCTCTTCGGCGTCCGCGCGTGGTGCGTGTCTCTCCGCGCGCGTCGCCGTCTGGACGCGCGCCCGAGCGACGACAATTTTGAATCCAAGAAGCACATCGCGAGATTTTCAAACCACTGTCCCCGATCGAGCCCGCCGATCAATTTGACCCCGGGCGCCGGAGGCGCTGATCGATACCTCAAGGCTCGAGCGCGCGCGCCGAGCTGGCGCGCGATCGGCCAACAAACTTTTCCCGGTCGCGTCGCCCTCGCGCGCGGTCAGATCGAGACGCCCGCGGCACACGCAGCGCGAGCGCGCGCGTCGCCGGCGGGTTCGCGAGATAGCGGCGTCGACGTCGCAGTAGGTTAGGCGCGTAGCGCGTTTCGAAGAAGCTTTTGGACTGACCTTCCCGTCGCGCGCTTCCGTCTCGTCGTCGCGCCCGAGGGAATCGTCGCGGACGATACGTTCTTCTGAGATCGAGAGAGACCTTCGTTCCATTCACTCGCCACTCGCGGCTGTCGCCCCCCGGGAAGCGCTGATACGTCACCCACGCGCGCGTCGTCGTGAAACACGCGCGACGCGTTAGGCAGAGCTCAGTCGCGGCGTCCGTACATCGTTCACTCCGTCGCGTGGATTTAGGGCTCTCTCGTGGGAAATTAATTCCCGCGCGAAGGAGGAGGACCGGCGGATCTCGCTCGGATCGGACCCCGCCTCGACCGACGCCGGTCGAGCGCGTCCGTCGTCGGCGTCGTCGTCCGTCGCGCGTCTCGCGCGAACGGCGTGGACGCGCGTCGACGCGATCGACGCGATCGGCGGCGTCATGGACGCGGAGGAGACGGCGCGCGACGACGACGTCGCCGAGCCGGAAGCGACGACGCCGGCGTCCGTCCGCGAGCGCGAGGATGAGCCCTCCGCCGCGGACGAGGCGGAGGCGGCGATCGACGACGACGACGACGACGACGACCGCGCGCGCGCGTCCTCGCCGCTCGCGGACGTCGAGATGGACGACGCCGGGCCGTCCGGCGACGGCCCCGAGGACGACGACGAGCCTCAGGAGGAGGAGGATCTGGACGACATCGACGGCGACACCGCGGTGCGCGACGCGCGACGCCGCGAGCCGCCGCGCCCTTCGCCCTTCGCGCCCTTCGCGTCCTTCGAGCGAGAAAAAAAAACCGACCCGAGCGATCGTCGTCGGCGGCGTCCGTCCGCCCCGCCCCGCGACGCTGGAACTGACGACGAACCCGAACCCGAACCCGAACCCGCGCCCGCCGCCGTCGACCCCTCCCGCCTGCAGAGCGAATCCTCGGAAGACGACGAGGCTGATCGCGCCGAGGACGCGATGGAAGAAGACGAGGGAGAGGATGACGACGAAGAATTAGAAGACGACGCCGAAGATATCGCAGACGCGCCTCCCGAGCCGACGGGGCGGGCGAACGTAGAAGAAGACCCCAAAGTAGAGACGCCGAGCGCGACGACGATTAGCGACGCCGCGAACGAGGACGTGGACGCGGAAGACATACTCGCGGAGATTTCCCTCGCCGGACGCCAGGAACTAGACGCATGCGCAAAGTACGTACCAACCTCGTAGACCCAGGACGCCGACTCGGACGGCGAGAGAGCCCGTCCGCCGATTGATTTTGAACTACACCTCTTTCGGATGTTGATTATTTATTGGAACCTCCGCGTTCGACGTATCTCCGTACCGCAAGTGTTATAGTACTTGTGTCTACACGCATCATAACGAACGAAACAGTGGACGTTGTCTGGTAGAACGAAATCGAGAATCGAAAGAACGCAGCCTCTCGTCAAGTCAACTCAATGGATCGTCACAAGTCACGTCAGTCAGAAAGGACCCCGCGGCTCACGTCACGAACGCGTTCAATCTTAAAGTCGAACTCAAAAAACACCAGCCGTGGATCAGAGCGCGCGCGATGCCGCGATACGCGGCGTCGCGCTGCAGCCATCCACGAACGGCGTCGGCGAGGGAGGCGGCGGATCGATGGCCGCCGCGGCGGCCGCGGGGAAACGAGCGCATCCAGAGAAAGAAAAATACAAGCGACGCCGACGCCGTCGCGCCGCGGAGACGCCGCGCGGTCGTTCACACTCCGGGAAGAGCGATCGCGCGCGGCGCCGGCCGCTCACGCCGCGGCGCGTCCGCGCCGGCGAGAGGCCGCGCGGACGGCGGCGTCGACAGAAGACGAGAGGGACAGACGGAAGAACTCGGCGTTCAATAACTTCGATTTCGATCTCAGATGCCTACGGACAACGTCCACCGATCGTGATGCGCCGCCGCCGTGGATTTCCGTTCCGTTCCGTTCCGTTCCGTTCCCGGACTCGTTCCTTTCGCGCCCCTCTCTCACCCCTATCGACGCCGCGCGCTGACCGCGCCGCGCCCGCCCGAACCCCTCCCCCTCTCCCGCAGGTCCTTGCTCGCGAGCGGCTCGAAGGACGTCTCCGACGACGTCGCCGCGGCGTTCGCGACGAAGCACGATCTGAAACCGCACGAGATCAAAGTCGCGGTGTCGCACTTGTACGACGCGCACGCGGAGAAAATCGCGGTCGCGGCCGCGGCGGCGGCGAGCGCGTCCCCGGTCAGCGCGGCGGCGCCGATCGTGCTGGACGCGTCTCCGGCGAAGCCCGCGGCGGCGAAGAAAAATCCCGCCGCGACGGCGCACGGGGGACTCCCCGGGAAGCCGCTCGCGGCCGCGTCGTCCCCGTCCGCGAAACCCGCGACCGCGACCGTGACGTTCGCGACGAAGACCGGGATCAGCGCCGAGGTCAGGGTCGACCTCGTCTGCGGCCCGGCTAGGGGCACGCTGGTCCTCCCGAAGGGGTACAAGCAGAAGCAGGAGTACGTCGTGTATCCGGACGGACGGAAGATATCGCCCGCGGCGTTTGAACGCGACGGCGGGAAGGAAAAGTCCAAGAGCTGGAAGAATTCTTGCATCGTGGTCACGAGCGATGCGTTTAACGGGAAGACCTTCAAGCGCTGGGTCGATGCCACGGGGTACCACCCGGTCGGGACGGAGATCGAAGGCGCCGCCGCGCCCGCGGACGAGAAGAAGAAAAAGTCGAAAAAATCGTCCAAGGAAAAGTCCAAGAAAGCGGAAGAGGAGGACGAGGAAGAGGTCGAGAAGTCCGTGTTCGAGAGGAACCTCGAGCCGCTCTTGGACGACGCCGGGGGGATCAAGGCGATCGACATGACCGGTCGGTTCGTGTGGCTGATGCGAAACGCGTTGAAAAACGCGGAGCGGTCGCTCGTGATCTCCGTGATTCACCGCACGTCGAAACCCATCATGCGATCGTTCGTGGACGGCTCCGACGGCGTCAAGGTGCTGTACGAGTGGTGCGCGGCCGCGAGGGACACGAACAAGTCTTCGCTCGTGTTGAAGATTTTGAAGACGCTGCGGAAACTCCCGGTCACGTTCGCGGTGCTCGAGAAGACCCCGGAGTTTGCAAAGTTTGTCAACAAGCTTCGCAAATACGCGCCGCCGGGGAAAGAGTCCGAGGATCTGACGATTCAGGTCCAGGATAACGCGATGGAGTTGAAAGCGAAGTGGGTGAAGATGATCACCGCGGAGAACGCGGCGAAGGAAGCGGCCGCGGCGAAGAAAGCGGCCGCGGCGAAAGCGGCGGCGGCGCCCCCGGTGGTCGGGGTCAAGCGCGACGCCGCCGCCGCCGCCGCCGCCGCCGCGACGGCGGCGGCGGCGAAACGCCCGCGCGTCGACGCGGTCCCGACGCCGCCGCAGCCCGCGGTCGCGAAGCCGACCCTGAACCCTAAGCCCGCGGCGCCCGCGCCGACGAAGATCGCCGCGCCCGCGCCGTCGTCCACGAAGATTGGCTCGGTCGCGACGACGACGAAGGTGACGACGACGAAGGTGACGACGACGAAGGTGACGACGACGATCTCGCGGCCGGCGTCCTCCGCGCTCTCCTTCGGCGGAATCAACATCCGCGGCGCCGGGTTCCCTTCCAAACCCTCGGGCGGCGACGCGTCGAAGGCGACGAGCGCCAAGCCCGCGAAGCCGGCGTCGCCGCCGCCGCCGAAGTTCAAGTACAGCAAGCCGACCAGCGCGCGCGCGAAGAAGGGGCTGTCGTGGGCGGCGGACACCGCGCTCGAGGCGGTGCAGTTCTTCTTCAAAGACGACGCCGCCGCGAAGCCGCCGTCGCCGCCGTCGATCTCCCGCGCGGACGCGGACGGAGGCAAGGACAAGGACGACGACGAGAACGAGACGGAGGACGACGCGGAGGCGATGAAGAAGGCGCGGCAGAGGCAGGAGCGCGAGCTCGCCGCGGAGGCGCGCGCGGCGAATCTCACGCGTCAGCGTCGCCTCAACGAGATGCGCGCGATCGGGTCGTGGCGCCGGCCCGTTACGTACGTCTATCCGAAAGACGTCGAGATCGAGTCCGGGAGCGAGTCCACGGAGGCGAAGCGCATGGCGCAGCGCGTGTCCAGGGTTCCGGAGACGACGTACGCGATGGCGTCGTTGATTCCCGCGTCGCCGGGGGAGGCGCCGGGGGAGGCGCCGCACGACGACGCGAAGACGCCAGCGGTGCCCGTCGTCGCGGCGAAGCAGCAACCGCAGCAGCAGCAGCAGCAGCAGCAGCAGCAGGGGTCGTCGATGCACCAGAACCAGTACGCGTCCGCGCAGCAGCAGCAGCAGCACCAGCAGCAGGGCGGCCAGGGCGGCGGGTTCGACGCCAACGCGTTGCAGGCGCTCCTCGCGTCGGTGCAGTCAGGGGCGCTGAAGGGCGGCGGCGGCGGCGGCGGCGGCGGCGGCGGCGCGAGCAACGGCGTGGCGCCGCTGCCGCCGCCGCCGAGCGGCGGAAACGGCGGCGGGTACGGCGGCAACCCGCCGATGCCTCGCGGGCGACCCCCCGCCGCGCATCATCAGCAGCATCAGCAGCAGCGAGACCAGGGCCAGGGCCAGGGTCAGGGCCAGGGCCAAAAGGGTCAGGGCCAGGGCGGCGGGTTCAACGACGGGTGGACGCCGCAGCAGCCCGGCGGCATCTGCGCGTTTTTCAACACCCCGAAGGGATGCCGGCACGGCGACGCGTGCAAGTTTAGTCACATCCCGGGCGCGCCGACGCCCGCGCCGGGGAATTTTCCGCCGAAGAATCCGTCGAGTCGGTACGGCGCGTTCCGATAGCGGGTTCCGATAGCGGAGGAAGAGGAGGGGGAGACGCGGGGACGGAGGGAGACGAACGAACGAAGAATTTCTTTTTTCGCGCCCGAGGAACGGAGAGAGGGCTCGATGGATCATCGGATCGATCGATTAGCACACACACTAGTAGCGCTCGCGACTTGGGGTTGATAGTGACTTAGACGACCTCGACTACGAACTCGCTTCAGTCGCGCGTGGATCAGACGCCGCGCCGCGCGCGAGACGTACAGAGCCGAGAAAGCGAGTATGGGTCAACCAGGTTCAAAGGCGCGAAAGAGTGGTGCGTTGAAATAGGCACGTTGAAACTAAAATTTGAAACTAAAAATTCGTCCACGCGCGCGCGTCGATTTTCGACTCGTTTGAAACAAACAGAACGTTCGCCGTGTCGTTGTTGGCACGCCACAGCGATCCGCGCGCGACTGACGACCGCACGCGCGCACGATGGCGCCCTCCGCGGAGATGTGGTGCTTCGACGTCGACGCAAAGTTCGAGCGAAACGGCGTCACGAGCTCGAACACCCTCAAGTGCGTCTCCCGCCCGTTCCGTCCCTCGGACGATGACGCGCGACGGGCGTCCGCCGTCGCCGCGAATCGTTCGTTTGAAAATCTCCGCGACGCATCGCGGCGTCGCCGCGCGTCGCGGCGTCGCTCGTTTCCTTCGCGACGGACGCGCGCGATTCCGCGCGTATCGCGCGCGCACGACGTCGTCGCGAGACCTCCCGCCCCCCGCCGCGACATCCCCCACCCCGGCGCCCGTTCGTCCGCCGCGTCGAATCGTTCGCCCGCTGACGATCGATCGCGCTTCGTCCTCCTCAACGTTCTTCCTCCTCCGTCGCAGGCACGTCGAGCTCCGCCTCGCGGACTCGGACAAAGAGAACGCGCCGACGTCCGGGAACCACACGCTGACGCATCTCGCGGCGTGCGCGAAGAAGAAGTACGTCCTTCGCTTCGGCGGCGACAAGGCGGGGTCGGACATGCACCTGTCGCACGTCAAAGCCATCTTCGGAAAATTCGTCCGAGAGGGCAAGCTGACCATCGAAGACAAGTCGAACGTCAAGGTTCTCGTCAAAGCCTCCCCGGCGGAGTGCTCGAGGCTCATGAAGACGCTGACGACGCTCAAGGGCGCGTCGCCGTCGTCGCAGCACGCCTACCTCGCGTCGCTGACGCCGTGCCCGAAGTGCGCGTCGAAGCTCTCGGCGACGAAGGAAAAGTTGGAGGAGCGCGCGCGTAAGACGGCGGCCGCCGAGCTCGAGCGCGCGGAGGCGGAGCTCGCGAAGAAGCGCAAGCGCGAGGAGACGGAGCGCGAGCGCGAGGAGCAAAAGTCGCGCAAGGTGTCGGACGATCTCAGGCGCGCGGAGGAGATGCGCGCGGCGAAGGAAGCGGCGCGGGCGGACGTCGAGGCGACGACGCGAGCCGTCGCGTCGGAGACCGCCGCCGCGCGTTTGGAGAGGGATAAGCTCCGCGACGCGAAGGAGGAGGTCAGCGAGCAGCGCCGATTGCTCGCGGCGGAGAAGAGCGCGCTCGAGAGCGAGCAGCGCGAGGTGGAGGCGATGCGAGGGAAGATCGCGAGCGAGCGTCGAACGGCGGAGACGGAGCGCGAAAAGTTGGACGCGCAGCTGGACGCGGCCAAGGCGACCGCGGCGTCGCTGGAGACGGCGCGGAGGGCGGTGGAGAAGGAGAACGCCGCGCTGGCGAAGGAGCGCGAACGCCGGGAGCTCGAGACGGTGAAGCTCGAGGAGCAGAGGAAGGCGCTCGAGGCGAAGCGCGAGGCGTGGGAGACGGCGAAACGGCACAAGGAGGACGACGCGCGGCTTAAGGCTGAGCTCGCGGAGCGCAGGAGAGCGGAGGCCGCGGCGAGGAAGGAAGAGGCGGCGAAGAGGAAGGAAGAGGTCGCGGCGAAGACGAGGGAGAGAGAGGACGCGATTCGGGAGACGCAGGCGAGGTGGAAGGCGGAAGTGAAGAGCAGGAAGGCGACGGATCGCGCGTCGGCGCCGCAGAGGAAGCCGTCCGGCGACGGCGACGGCGACGGCGACGCCGCGGAGTGCGACGCGAAGAACTTCTACGGCGCGGGCGGCGCGTCGACGACGGCGGCGGCTGCGAGACCGAAAACGAAACCGGCGGCGAAGTCGAAGCCCACCATCGTGGTCGACGACGACGACGACGACGACGACGACGACATGGACGTGGACGCGGACGCCGGCAAAGAGAACGCGAAGCAGAACGCGAACGCGACCGCGAACGACGACGACGCGAACGACGACGACGACGACATCTTCGCCGCGGAGGAGAAACGGCGGCGCGAGATGCTCGAACGCGCGCGCGCCGCGGAGCTCGCGCGTCAAGAAGCCGAACGCGCGGCGGAAAAACGCCGCGCCAAAGAACAAGCCGTCCTCGAAGCGCGCCGAGCCAAGACGAAGAAGGCGCAGAAAGAGATGATGGAGGAGCTGCGTCGGAAGCAAGAGGAGGAGCGCGCGCAGAGGGAGCACATGGCGAGGAAGACGGCGGCGGAGATAAAGATTCGGCAAAAGTCCAAGGGCGTCACTCTGGCGACGGCGACGGAGGAGATCTACCAGAAACACCTCGAAGCGTTCGACGCGATGCGTTCGATGCCGGAGGGGTCCATCCGCGAGCGCGACGTCCCGTGGCCGAACCCGATGAACCTGGTGTTCTTGACCCCGAAGGACGACGCGAACGCGAAGAAGAAGAAGATCTTGAGGGCGATCGGCCGGTGGCATCCGGATAAGTTCACCGCCGCGTACGGCTCGCGGCTGGGAGAGGACGAGAGAGAGGCGATCATGGCGCGCGTGAGGTCGGTCAGCGCGTCGATCATCGAGCTCAGGCAGGTGTTCAACTGAATGAGCGGCCGACAGAGCGTAGGGAGGGGTGTAGGGAGGGTGGGGGGGTGGGTGATGATGATGATGATGATGATGAGATGATTCACGAGGCGTTTCGTTCACGAGTCGACATTTTGCTGACATTTTGAAGCATACAGTAGGTGACTGGATCCACGACAACGATCGCCGCAGTCGTCCTCGCGCGCACCGCACGCACGCGCCACGACGATGACGTCCCTCGCGATCCCGAGCTCGCGCGTCCTGCCGCGCGCGTCCGCGCGCGGTCGCGCGCCGCGACCGCGCGCGTCGTCGCGTCGCGTCGCGACCGCGACCGCGCGCGCGCGATCGCGCGTCGACGACGACGACGACGCTGACGCGGACGATCATCGTCTTCGCGCGTCGTCCGGGGCCCTCCCGGCCCTCGGCCGCCGCGAGGCGATCGCGACGCCGCTCGCCGCGGCCGCGGCGCTCGCGGCGACGGCGCTAACGTCGCCCCCCTCCGCGCGCGCGGAGTACGGCGAGACGACGTACATGGGCGCGATCGCGGACAAGGACTACGGCAAGAAGGACGTCATCTACGAAGACTTCACGCTGACGCCGTCGGGGTTGCAGTACAAGGACATGAAGCCCGGCGCGGCGGACGGCGCGGTCGTGAAGAAGGGTGCGAACCAGACCGTGGTGATCGACTGGGACGGGTACACGATCGGGTACTACGGCCGTCCGTTCGAGGCGAGGAATAAGAGCAAAGGCGGCGCGTTCACCGGCGAAGAGAAGGATTTCGTTCGGTTCAAACCGGGCGACCCCTCGGTCATCGCCGCGTTCAACGAGGCGATCGTGGGCATGACCGTGGGCTCGATACGGCGGATCGTCGTCCCGCCGAACACGCCGACGCGCGCGCTGGGGTATCCGGACGGGAAGGCGTGGAGGTCGATGAAGCCGCAGCCGTCGTCGTTTTCGGGCGAGAGAGCGTTGGGGTTCGTGCTGGAGAACCAAGGGATGATCGACAAGACGCTGCTGTTCGACATCGAGCTGATCAAGATCATAGAGTGACGACCGCCAGCCGCGCGATGGGGATGATATGATATCGTATGATGACTCGCGGACGCGTCGTCGGTTGTATTCTATCCCTTTAGACCCGGTGTGTAGTTAACTACCTTCGTACACATATTTCCGGCCAATTCTGACTAAATGCTCATACGGGATCATTTTATCGGCGGTGTGTAGTTCACTACACGAAAATGCTCGGGTCTAAAGGGACACGTCATATCGCGTCGCCGCCCGCGACTGGCCGTATCGACTCGGGTCAGCCGCCGCCGCCCGCTTCCAAGGCTCTCAGCGGATCGCACGGGTAGTTCGCGTCGCTGCAGCAAACGCGCTCGCCCGCGGCGACGCGTCCGACGCCGTCCTCCCCTTCCCCTTCCCCTTCCCCGCCGGCGACGCTCTCGCCGCTCCCGAGACACCGCAACAGCTCCACCTCGTATCGCAACGCGCTGCCCGGAGGTATCCTCCCTCCCGGCGCCTTCATCGCCTGGGTGGAGTTCAAAGGCATCGGTGGTTGGAGTTGAAAGGCGCCGAGGGCGGGGATTGAACGCGAGGGACCCTGGGCGGAGAGAGACGCCGGCAAAAGTCCTTAAGAAACAGCGTTCACCGCGCCGACGAGGTCGTATGGGGACCAGTGTATAGAACGTACCTTATTCCCGAACCCAACCTCCGGCGGGACCGCGACGAGCCGCCGCCCTCCCGCGCGCATCGTCCCTATCGCCTCCTCCAAGCCCTCGCACACCCCCGGCGGTCGGATCCCGTATTCGAACACCAGCGGCGCGCCGCGCGCGTAGGTGTCCTCGAAGACCAAGTCGTTCGAATTCGGGAGCGTCCCGACGACGTGCGCGACGACGACGGCGCCGAGCTTCACGGGCTCGCCGCGGCCGACGGCGAGGTCCGCGTACGCCACCCCGGACGCGGTCGTGATCACGTCGCGCTCCGCGGGCGGTTCCGGCGCCGGCGCCGACGCCGACCCCGACGATTCGTCCCGCGCGACCGTGTCGTCGTCGGACGCCGCGGGGACGCGCTCGCCCGCGAGGATCTCGTCGATGTCGGGCGGCGCGACGAGGAGGTCGAGCGCGCGCGCGGGGAGGGGCGCGACGGCGACGGCGACGGCGACGGCGACGGCGCGCGCGAGCGCGGTCGCGGTCGCGGCGACGAAGAGCGACCGACGCGGCGCGTCGAGAGACGCGACGGCGAAGGCGGCGTCCGACGCCGCGTCGTCGGTCGCGGTCGTCGTCGAATCGTCGTCGTCTCGCGTCGACGCGCGGCGGTGCGGTCTTCGCGCCGCGCGGCGCGAGCTCGAGCGCGCGGCGGAGACGCGCGGACGCGCGCTCGCGGGGAACCGCGCGATCGCGAGCGCCTCGCGCGTCGTCGCCATCGCGCGTCCTAGCTAGCTACAGGTAGAGTGCGACCGTCGCTCGGACCCCGAGCGTCGTCGTCTCCTCTTCCGGAAATTCCGACGAAAAGCGCGCAGAACGAGGGGACCTTTCGGGCGCTTTTTCGTCCTCCTCCTCGTCACATCAACGCGCGCGTCCTCACGCGCGCGCGAACGTCGACGACGCGTCGATCGCCCGCGCGAAGACCATGCACGCGCCCTCCCTCGCCGCGTCGCGCGCGTGCGCGTCCGCGCGCGCGATCGCGCGCGTCCGCGACCGCGGCCATCATCATCTTCATCGCGCGACAAAAAAATATCCGCGCATCGGGCGCTCCGATGCGGTGGTCCGTTGCAGCATCGGGGGCGCGGCGCCGCCGCCGTACGACGTCGAGCGCGACCGAACGATCTTAGAGGCCGTCGGCGTCGGGCTCCTGTGCGTCGCCGCGAGCGCGATGTTCGCGAACGGCGCGAGCGCGTCGCGCGTGTCGAACAGCGCGCAGCTCGCCGCGGCGTTGTACGGAGGAGGAGGGGGCGCGGGGCCGTCGACGACGGTCGTCGTTAACAACGCTTCGGGAGGCGCGACGGGGCCAGAGCTCGTCTGCCGATGATGAGGGAGGAAACGACGAATCTGACGCGCGCTCGCGGCTCGCGCGCGGAAGTCGTGTACATGTAATAATACGCTGTGTAATAATGAATGATATCGTCGGTCTCGCTGCGTATCATGCGCGCGGCGGAGTCGTCCCCGGGTCTTCGACGCGCGTGACGAAGCGACAGCGACGTGTCGACCTCCCGCCGCCGCGACCGCCGGTCGCCGTCGCCACGTCCAAGAGGAAAAAAAAACTGCCATCGTATGAACGAATAGTCGTGAGTACGTGTACGAGTAGTTTTCGTTCTGCGCGAGGGAACAACGCGCGCGTTCCGATAAAACGGTCGTGTACAATGCGTTACGCCGTATTTCAGGGACGCAGCGTCTCACATTCGCTCTACTCACTCGCTCACTCGTGTCGCGCGCCTGTAATCGCGCGCAAAGCAGATATCTCCTTGACACAGCGCGTCCGCCGTTCGCGCGCGTTCGGTTCGGTTTTCTCTCGCTTCCCGCCTTCGCCGCCGCCGCCGTCGTCGGCGGTCTCCTAGTCTCCGCCGAACCCCCGAATCAACTCCAGGTTCTCGATGACCGTGAACTTCCCCGCGTACGCGTCCTCCGTCGCGCCTCTCACCGCCGCGCGCGCGACGCACTCGACGCTCACCGGCGCGAGCGACGCGAGCGGATCCAACGCGGATGGAAGTTTCGACAGCGCGAACCCGAGCGGCGCCATGGCGACGTACAACGGCACCGCGACGCCGTCCACCCACCGCGTGCCGCTGACGCCGCCGGGCTTCAAAACGACCGCCCCGCGTGCGTTATTCCCACCATCCCCATCCCCGTCGCCGCCGGAACCGACGAACTCTTCCCGCGCGAATCGCTCCGCGTTCGCTTTCCCGACTTTGTACGCCGCGTCTTTAAACCCCCACCCGAACGCCATCCCCGGCACGAACGGCGGAATGCTCGCGCCGACCACCACGAGCCGGCGCACGCCGAGCGCCATCGCGACGCGTCCCGGCGCGACGTTCGTCTCGCCGTTGTCGCGCACGATCTCCTCGCGCGTCAGCGACGGCATCGGGAGTCTCCCGACCGCGGTGATGACCGCGTCCGCGCCGCGCACGGCGTCGCGGTACGTCTCCGGGCGGAGCGCGTCGCCTCGGCGCCAGTCGATCTCGGACGCCCACCCGCGTTCGGCGTCGCCGAGCAGGTGCGCGGGCGCGGCGCCGCCGCGCGTGACGCACGTCACGTCGAACCCGCGCTTGACAGCCTCTTTCGCGATGCCGGAGCCGACGAACCCGGTGCCGCCGAAGACGACGAGTCGTTTCGCGGCCGCGGACGCCGCCATCGTGCGCGCAGCAGGGTGATGTGATGATGTCGGCACGACGACGTCATCGCTGTCGACCGCGACAGGACCGCTCGTCGCCGCGAGATCCAAGTGACAGGTGGCATGCGTGCATCCCCGAGATCGACGACGCCACTCTCGCGCGCGCCCGCTCCCGCGCCGGCCCGCGCAGTAGACCCCTTCCTCCTCCTCCTCCTCCTCCTCCTCCTCGTCGTCGCGATGTCGAGCTCGTCTTGCGCGACGATGTCGCCGTCCTCGCGCGTCCGCGTCTCCCCCGCGCGGTCGCCGCGGCGTTCGACGACGAGCGCTATCCGTCGGCGGACGATGACGATCGTCGCGAAGGCGACGTCGCCCGCGGCGCTCAAGTCGGCGGCGTCGCCCGCGACCGCGACCTCGCCCGCGACCGCGCCCGCGGTCAAGGCGGAGAAGGGCGAGTTCGTGTTCGAAGCCCCGAACCAGTACGGGTACTTCGACAGCGCGATCGAGGCGGCGGAGACGAAGCGCGCGAAGCGATTGGAGCAAGGGTACGTCCCGATCACCGGCCTCAGCGCGGACGAGGAAGCGTCCAGGTACGCGCGGCTGTGCTCGAAGCACCCCACCGCGGCGCGATGCGCGGAGGGGTTCTCGAAGAAGATCGTCACGAAGCCCGCGACGCAGAGCATGGTGAACGGCAGCATGGTGCGCAGCGACGGCATCATCCTGGTACCGGGGAATCGCGAAGATCTCATCACGTGGGCGCTCGACCCGAAGATGTCCGGCGACACCCTCGGTCTTTTACTCCCGACGCTGTTCGTCATCATCGGCGCGCAGTTGAAGCAGGTCGCGGGGGTGCCGGAGTACGTCAGCGGCGCGGTCGGGATCACCACGAAGATCATAGCGACGTGCCTGGTCGCGTTGTACTGGCTCCCGGACTTTACCGCGGGGATCCAATGAGTGGTTGACGCCGCCGCCGACGGAGAGAATGTGATGAGAAGAACGCCGGACCGACTGAAGAGCTTGTAACAAACAGAACGAACGCGACGAATAAGAATACGAACCGCCACGGCGATTCGATGACTACACGTGTACCACGCGACACGTCTACGATAACGCTACGATAGATCCTACTACTTACTCTAACTAATGGTATCGCGTCTGCGGGACGCTCAGCAGCGCGGCTTCGACGCGGTCGCGAAACGCGTCGCACTCGTCGTCGTCGTCGACGACCAGCCGCGACGATAACACCAGCGGGTCGCACGCCGCGAGGACCGCGCACGCGCCTCTCATCCCGCGCGCGCCCAACCCGCGGAGCTTCGCGACGTCCTTCTCCGTGAGCACCAGCCGCGCTTCCGCGCCGCCGACGTTCCCGGAGACGGCGTGCATCTCGCGGTACCGACGGACGACGCGTTCGAGTGTCGCCTCCGTGAAGAACGCGTCCGCGTCCGCGTCGCCGTCTCCGCCGCCGACCGGCGCCGCCTCCACCTCGCCCGTATCCCGCAGACGCAGCCCGTACCCGTTCTTGTCGTCGTCCACCGCGGGCGCGACGAGCGACTCGAGGCACGCGCGCAGCGCCTCGCCCGCGTCCGCGCCGTCGCTCTCGACGCACAACACCTTCGACCCGCGGAGGCGAGACAGCGGCGGCGTCCACTCGTGCCGCGGCGATTCCCCCGCGTAGCGAGCGAGGCGTTCGATCTTCTCGGGACGCATCCGCGCGCGGACGATCAGAACGCCGTCGTTCTTGAGCAGCGGTTTGACGCGGGAGTCGACGAACGCGGCGAGCGTCGGGGGGTCCACGAGGTTCGCGTGGAGGAGCGCGACGACGTCCGCCCGAGCGACGGCTGCGGCGGCCTTAGGGGCGTTCTATACGAGCGAAAGTCGGGGTGGAGTTGAAAGGCGTCAGATGGCGTTGAAAGGCGTCGCGGTCGGGGATTGAAAGCGAGGGGTTGGCGCAGAGACACGCCGGGCAAAGTCCTTAAGGATCGGCGTTCACCACGCCGACGCGGTCGTATGGGGACCAGTGTATAGAACGCGCCTCATCATCCGCTGCGGCGGCGGCGCCGGCGAGCGCGTCCACGACGAGCACCTCGAGCGTCGCGTCGACGCCGCCGCCGCCGCCGTCGATCACGTACGCGGCGGCCGCCGCCGGCTCGGGCTCGGGCTCGGGCTCGGCGGCGGCGTCGTCGTCTCCGCCGCCGCCGCCGCCGCCGCCGCGGCGCCATCGCTCCTCCACGCAGCGCAGCTCGACGTCGTCCACGTCCACGTCCCCCGCGAACCTCGCGTCGCGATCGAACGCGAGCGTCCTCCGCGCCGCGTCCTCCTCCGCGGCGGACGTCGACGCCGTCGCCGTCGCCGTCGCCGTCGACGCCGCGACGCGCCGCGCGTCGTCGCACGCCATCGCGAGCGCGCGCGCGGTCGTGCCGACTCGCACGGAGACGCGCGGGACGTCCGCGAGGCGCCGTCCGAGGAGCCCGCGCTCGTCCACCGCGCGCGAAGACGACGGCGTGAGGACGACGGGCGCGCGGCGCAGCGACGCGATCGTCCGCGCGACGTGCTCCGTCATCGGCGTCTTCCCGCGGACGCCGCGGACGACCACCGTGGGAAGCGACGCGCGGTAAGCAGACGCGTTCGCGTCGTCGTCGTCGTTCGCGTTCGCATCATTCGCGTTCGCGCCGTCGTCGTCGTCGTCGCGCGCGACGTCGTCGACGAGCGCGCGCAGAGGCGTGCGCTCGAGGAGCGCGGCGAGGATCGACGACGACGCGCCGCGTCGCGACGAGGGCGCGCGCGCGGACGACGCGAACGCGCGCGCGATGAGCGGCGCGCGCATCCGCGGCGCGCGGGCGCGAGTGGCGCCACGCGGCGACCGCGTCAGCCTATTGGCGGACTCGCGTCATCGTCGAGCACTCGCACTCTCAGCAAGACTGCCAAACAGCGCGAATTCCTCGTCGCCGCGGCCACAATCCATCCGCGCGGGCGCGCGCGCGACGTCGTCGACGGCGACCATGGCGTCCTCTCCCGGAGACTGGTACCAGAGCCTCCCGCCCGTGTGCAAAGCGTGGGGCACCGCGTGCATGGCGTCCGCGGTCGCGTCCCAGTTGGGGATGATCGATCTCTCGATGTTCCACTGGTCGCTCCCGCTGGTGATCAAAAAGTTTCAGATCTGGAGGCTCGTCACCAACTTTTGCTTCCTCGGGAGGTTCTCGTTTCCGTTCGTCGTGCGGATGATGATGATGTGCGTCCCGTCCCGTCCCGTGCCGTCCCGTCCCGAGCGTCGCCGTCCCACCGCGTCGGCCACCGGAACCGACGACGTCGGACCTTCGATCCCCGAAATTTATTTATTTCTCCCCGTCGTCACGTCAGATGAAAAAGAATCCATCCCATCCGATTCGTTCGCCCGCTGACGCGTCCCCGGCTGTCCCCACGCCCCCTCCCCCCTCCCCCAGCGCCCGCTACGGCGTCTTCCTCGAGCAACAAACCTTCGCGGGACGCACCGCGGACTTCCTCTGGATGTTACTCATCACCGGCGGGGTGTTACTCCCCGTCCCGACGCTGTTTCCTTCTGTTTCATTCTCACCCTTCGCCGGCGCGTCGCTCGCGTTCGCGTTGCTTTACCTCTGGTCGCGCGAGAACCCGAACGCGAACACGTCCATCATGGGCATGGTCTCCATGAAAGCGTTCTATCTTCCGTGGGGGATGATGGCGCTGACGATGGTCATGGGCGGCAGCGTCGTGCCGGACTTTTTGGGCGTGATGGCGGGGCATCTGTATTACTTTCTCGCGGTGTTGAATCCCGCGGCGGGGGGGCCGCGGGTGGTGCGCACGCCGGGGTTTATTCACGCGCTCGTGAAGGCGGTGTGGGGGATACGGCGCGCGCCGGGCGGCGGCGGCGCGGGGAGAGGCGCCGGCGCGGGCGCGGCGCCCGCGCCGAGGTCGTTCGGAGGAAGAGGCCGCAGGCTCGGCGCGGACTAGACGGAGCGACCGTCGTCGGTCGTGAAAGCGTGTTGAGGGCCGTTCTATACAAGCGAATGTTGGGGTGGAGTTCAAAGGCGTCAGTTGGCGTTGAAAGGCATCGAGGACGGGGATTGAAAGCGTGGCGTGGGCGGAGAGAGACGACGGCAAAAGTCCTTAAGGAACGGCGTTCACCACGCGAACGCGGTCGTATGGGAACCAGTGTATAGAACGCACCTGATTCTGTTCCAGTCGTCTCGAGTTTCGTCGTCGAAAGTCTTCTCGCGCGTCTCTCTCCGCGCCGCGCCTACGTCTTCGCGTCGCGGAGGATGAAAAGGAGGGCTTCCACGACCAGCGCGACGAACGCGGCCATCGCCCCGATCACGATGTGCGTCGTGACGCTGTCCGGGGCCATCGATTTGCCTGCGCGGGAGGGGAAGTCGCGGCGTCGGCGCGGCGTCGCGTTGGAAAAAAAAAAACGTTTCTTCTCGGACGCGCCGAGACGCACCGGCGAGGACGCCCGCGACGCCGGACGCGACGACGACGGTCAGCACGTGCGCGCCGAACCCGAGATCCTTCGCCAGCATCGACACGCCGCTCGTCCCCGCGTCGCCCTCCGCGTCGCCCTCCGCGTCGCCCTCCTCCGCGCTCTCCCGGAGCCGCATCGCGCGCCGCCTGCGCTCGTCCACCTCCTCGCGGAGCTTCGCCATCCGCGCGGCGTGCTCTGGATCCACGGGCGGCAGCCTCGGCGCGGTCAAGACGAGCTTCGAGCCGAGCATCACGTCCTGAAGGTACGGACCGTCGTCGTCGTCGTCGTCGTCGTCGTCGTCGTCCTTCTTCTTCTTCATCTTCTTCATCTTCTCGGCTCGAGACGCCTCGCACGCGCGACGCAGAAGGCGGAAGGGGACGTCGTCCGCGTCCTCGAAACGCTCGCACGCCTCCGAGAGCGACGACGATGATCTCGCGGCGTCCTCGCGCTCGGCCTCGTCGCCGCGCCGCGCGAGCGCTCGCAAGACTTTCCTCGACGCGGACGTCTGCGCGACGCGCAGCCCGCCCGCGTCGATCCGCATGTTCACCCACGCCACCATGGCGACACGACGAGGCTTGGGCGCGGCGAAGTGATGACGGACGACGACGAAGGAATGGCGTCAGCGTCAAGCGACTCGCCTGGATAAAATAATGTGACCTGATGTCCGGCCTCGACCGGGGTAACTACACGCGAGGGGCGCCGCCGCCGCCCCTCATCCATCCATCCATCCATCCCTTCTCCTCTTCGACCTCCTCCTCCTCCTCATCCTCCGCGCGTCCACCGTCTCCTCCCAACCCCAACTCACGAGCCAACCTTGAAGGCGTCGCAGCACAGCCCGTACAACACGCCGATCTTGAAGCAGTTGAGCGCCAGCGGGATGAAGCTCCCTTCGCGAAGCCACTTCAACATCCCTCGCGGCCGCTTCGGGGAGTACAACACGCTCGACAAGAACTCGCTCAGGAACATGATCGTGAGGCAGATGACCGCGTCGCCGGGGGACTCCGGGTGCGGGAAGTACGCGCACATGGAGAACCCGACGAGGAGGCATATCAACGCGACGGGGAGGTAGTTGAAGTTCTTCTTGACCTGGTCTCTGAACGAGCGCGCGATGTCCGCGTAGGTGGCGCCCAGGCGCGTGTCCCCCGGGTCGCCGCCGGCGACGCGCGCGCGGGTCTGCAACGTCAGCGCGCGGCCGCGGCCGGTACCGGCGCGACGCTTCCTCAGCGCCGCGATCCCGTGACCTCCGGTCGTCGCGCTCGCGCGACGCCACGCCCCGACGACGCGCGCGGGCATCATCCTCGCGGACGACGACGATGCCCTAGCGGCGGTCGCACAGACGGAGGAGGACGCGCGATTGGATCGCGCGGGCGCCGTCGCGGCGAGCGCGCTCGCGATCGACGACATCGCGATCTTCGTTCGTTCCGCGGACGCGGCGGCGGCGTGCGGACGGTCTCGCGTGCGCGCTGCCGGCGCTCGCGTCGAAGTGGAGTGCGCGCGTCGCTCGCGGAGGCTTATCTGGCTGGCGGGGTTGCCGTGCTGGGAGCTGGCGCGAAACTTACGCGAGATCGATGCGTTTCCGCGATCAGCGCGACCCCGGGAGCGATGAACGGTTGAAACCGTTCAAAGGCGTTCAGGGAGTTCGGGTTGTCCGATCCGTCCCCGCGCGTCCTCGCACTTCCTCAGCGCACGCGACGACGACGCGCGCGCGGACGCCACGCCGGCGCAGCCGACGCTCATCAGCGCGGCGTCGAACCGAACGCGATGAACACCGTCCCGATACCCAAGCGGAAACTCCTCCTGTGCGTCCGGTTCGACCTCTCGGAGACGGAGTCCGCGGTGGGCGCGATCGACGCGCGCTCGGGCGGCGTCGTCCACGACGAGTGCGCGAAAGCCGCCGCGGGCGCGTCCAACCTGCTCGACCCGATCGGCGTCGTCGGCTCGTGCGTCGCGACCGCGGGGGAGCTGTCCATCGAGGACGCGCAGGCGCTCCCGTTCGTCGCGTCGGCGACGCTCGGATGCGCGGACCCCGCGGTGGAGTTCAGGTGCGTTGCGTTTTTCACCCATCCATCGGTTTCAACATTTGATCGCGTCCCCTTTCAACTGACCGATGAATGAACTCGCCCTCGCAGCTGGGCGTACTCGTCCACGGCCCCGGTCGCGGTGATGCGCGTCCTCGTCTCGCTCGCTAAGTGCGACGGCGTCACCGCGCTTCGGATCGGCCTCCACGCGATGGAGCTCCTCGAGGGCGGGCCCAACGACGGGAAGATCTCGTCTCCGGGAGGGTTCGCCGCGCCGCCGCCGATTCGGCCCGGGTTGCGACACGCGCTGAATTTCGCCAACATGCTTCGTCGCACGCTCTCGTCCATCGTCGCCGCGTCCGCGTTCAAGCTCGGCGACCCGCTCGGGGCGAACAAGTTGATCGGCGCGAAAGAGGGCGTGATCGTCCCGACGACCGCGAGGTCGACGATCGCGTACTGGGCGCAGGAGAAGCCGGCGCCGACGTCGTTCGCGTTGTACGCGGCGGCGTCGCCCAAGTCGAAGAAGGCCGAGGGCGGCGAGACTGTAAAACCATACCGCGCGTTCCTCTCCGCGATCGAGAACTGGCGCGTTAAGCTCGGCCTGCGCGCGTGCTTCGTGCTCGTGAACCAAAGACCGCTCGTCGTGCCAACGGAGGTGCGAAAGGTCACGGACATCGCGGACGATCGCGACTTCAGAGTTCGCTACGCCGGCGCGTTCGGCGGACCCGAAGCGCCGCCTGGCGACGACGTCTGGCCTCTGAACAACTTCTACATGGCGAACGTCGTGTTCGTGAACAACTACGGGCGGCACGCGCGGACGTTCAAGGCGAAGGCGACGGCGTTCATGTGGGACTGGATAGGCATGGGCGCGCACGTGTGGGGCGGGGGGTGCGTGGAGATCAACGGGAGATTTCTCGCGTGGGTTCGAGGGACGAGGGAGGGGATCGACGCGTGCGAGGACGAGCTCGCGGGCGCGGTGGGGGCGAAGAAGGAGGCGCTGACGCAGGCGAGGTGGGACGTCATCGTGCCCGGCGGAAAGTAAAGCGGCGAGAAGGTTCGCTCGCGTTGAAGAGAGAGGAGGTTAACCGACGTTAACTTAAACTTCAACTTATTAACGACTACTGCATCGTCGGCGAGCGAGGCTCATAAACTATCTGATAGTGTCCTCCTAGAACAAGGAGAGCTTGATCCCCGCTCTCTGCGCGTCCGTCTTCCCGTCCGCGCGCTTCCCCGTCCCGGACACGAACGTGGACGCGGCATCGCCTCCGCCGCCCCACCACGAGCTCGCGTCCGCCTCGGGCTCGGGCTCGGGCTCGGGTTTGGGTTCGAGCTTCGCCGCCGCCGCCGCCGCCGGAGTCCTGCTCTGCACCTCCTCCCCCGGCGAGTCCGCGCTCAGCGCGTCCCTCACGAACTGCGTCCCCCCCGGCAGCGTGCTCAGCGACCCACCCGCGCTCGTCGTCGGCGCCGCCCTCGCGCCGTCCTCGGCGTCTCTCCACGCCCGCCGCGCGTCCGCGCCCCGCGCGGCGCTCTTCATAAACTGCGACGGCCCCGGGAGGTCGTTCCACGTCTCCGCGGCGTATCCGGCGGAAGCCGCGGGCGTCGCCTCCTCCCTCGGCGTCGCTCGCGCGATCGCGGACGACGGTCGCGGCGACGGCGTCGGCGATGCGAGCGCGTACGCGGTCGCCATCGCGCTCTGCACCGCGCCGAGTTTCCTGCCGCCCTGACCGACTTTCAACGCCGACGCCGGCGCCGAGCCGCCGCCGATCGCCTCGCCGCCGCCGTACGCCCCCCACGACCCGCCCACCTGCCACCCGCCGAGCCCGCGCGTGTTCTCCATCCCCCACCAGTGCCCGCCCGCTTCCATCCCGCTCGCGCCGACGACGGTGGCTTTCGACGGGAGGTACGCCGGCGGCGGCGCCGCCGCCGTCGTCGTCGTCGGTCGTCGCGGCGGCGCCGACGCCGGCCGCGTCGATCCAGGCTGGTACACCTTCGTGCCCGTCCCGGCCTGCGGCGTCGCCGCGTTGCGCATCGCGCCGTACATCGCCTTCACCCTCGGGTGCGCGCTGACGCCGCCGTACAGCGCGTCGAGGGCCGTCCTCGCGTCGTCCTCTGACGTGACCTTCCTCCGCGCTCTCTTCTCCGTCGTCGCGACAGCTCCAGCGCGGCTCCTCGCGCTCGGCTTCTCGTTGTAGAACAACCGGTCGCCGACGTTCCCGGGGCGTCGTAACTGACTCGCCTTGGCCGTTATCTTCGGCGCGAACGTCGTGTCCGGGTCCGAGGGGGACACCCCCGACGAGTTCAACGTCGGCGCCGCGTACGTCTTCGGTTGGAAAAACGCCGTCGGCCTCAGCGTGCTCGCCGTGGACGCGGACCTGAACGACGCGCCGTCGTCGAAGTCCGAGAGCGACGCGGCGGTCGCGACGACGCCGGTCGCGTCCTCCGGGGCCTCCCTCGCGTCGTGGAACTGGTCCACGGCCGCGGCGATCGCGGTCGACGCGTTGATTTTCGTGTTCCCGATGCGCCACATTTTTTTCGCCGCCGCCGATCGAAGCTCGCCCTCGGGGAGGCACTCGTCGAAGTCGTCGTCGTCGTCGTCGTCGTCGTCGTCGTCGTCGTCGTCGTCGCGTCGCGTGACGGAGTTCCGCGGGAAGATGACAGCCATGAGCATCGCGCTCGGGTCTTGGGGTGCGCCTTCCTTCTTCCGCCCGGCGTCCGCGGCGTTCGCCGTCGCGCTCGACGCGGCGGCTCGCCGCCCAGAGAGCGCCGCCGACGCACCGACGCCGCCCTCGCGCGCCTTCGCCGCCACCTGCCGCCGCTCGAGAAACTTCGCGAACTCGCGCGTGAGCGACGGATCCAGCGCGCCCACTTCCGCGGCTCTCTGCGCCGCCGCTTTCGCGGACGCTCTGGTCTTCTGAATGAACGCCGCGGCGTCGGCGCCAGCCCGCACCTTTCGCCCCTCTGTCATCCTCCGACTCGCGTTCGAGATGCGCGGCGCGAACGTGCACTCCCTGAGCTCCTCCTCCGCGATCTTCCGCCGGTGCAGCGCCTCCACCTTCGCGCGCTTCTTCTCCTGCCACGCCTGGAGGTCGAACACCGTGCGGTCGATCGACCTCGCCATGTTCGATATCCGCGGCTTGTGAAGCTTCGACTCCTCCTCTTCCGTCTCGACGCGCCTTCGCTCCGCCTCCGCGGCGGCGGCGGCGCGTCTGCGCCTCTCGAACAGCTCCTGCCTCGCGATGAATCCGCCGCGCGCGTTCGCGCCGCCCATCAAAACCCGGGACACGTTCGTCATCCCGATCGCGCGAAGCGATTCGTCCCCGCCCATCCCGCGCGGCGTCGTGAGATAATCCGTCTTCGCCATCTCTTCCCTTCTCGCCGACCTCGCCATCCCTTGCCGATACAAGTTCTCCCCCGCAGCCTCGAGCTCGCGCCGCGACCGCGACGCGACGCGGGAGTTATGTTTCTCGAGCGCGAGCGATTGGCGGCGCTCTTGCTCTTCTTTCGCCGCCGTGCGCGCTTGTTTGATGACCCAGTCGCGGTGCAGTCGGTCCTCCACCGGCTCGCCGCGGCGCGCCGCCGCCGCGGAGGCGTTGGAGGCGGCGTCCGAGCCGCCCGCCCCGGACGTCGAGGAGAACCGCGTCGCGCCGCCGCGCGTCGGTTGACGTTCCATATTCCGCGTCGTCGAACGGCCGCCGGACGACGGTTTCGGTTTATCCGGCGGCGGCGCCCACTCGCCGCGCTGCCGCCGCGGCGCCGACGCGCTTCTCCCGGCGCGTCGCGCCTCCGCGCGCGCCGCCGCCGCGTCCCTCGCCGCGCGCGCGTCGGCGTCGGCGTCGCCCCTCCATTCGCGCTCTCTCGCGTCGCGCTCGCGCCGCTCGCGCTCGCGCGCGCCCGCGTTGGAGCCCCACGCCGGGAGAGGCGCCGCCGCCGCCGACGGGCGCTCGACGCTGGCGCTTCTTCGACGCGGAAAGCCGGGGGGTTCCCGCCGCCGATCCCGATCCAAATCCCGACGCGCGTGGTTTTGGTTTTGGTTTTGGTCGAGGCGGTCGCCGTCGTCGCGCGTCGCCGCGTCGTCCCGTCCCACCCCACCCAGGTTCGACGGGAGATTTTGGCGGTGGTAATCGCGGTGATGATCCGCCGCGGCGTTCCCGTTCTCCGCGAACGAGTGCGCGCGCGAGTGCTGCGGCGACGAGTGCAGCGAGTATCGCTCGAGTATCGCTCTTTCGGCTCGGTCGCGCGCCTTGGGCGCGGGCGTCGACGCGCGCTCCGCGCCGCCGGGGATGTACGACGCGTCCTCGAGGCTGTCGCGGCACGTCGCCGGCGCGGGCGCGGGCAGCGGCGGGAGCTCTAGCTCGAGGACGTGCCTCACGGACTCCTCTCGCGGGACGTCTGTCGGAGGGCGCGGGGGCGGTCGCGTCGTCGGTCGGCGCGTCGGGATCGAAATCGAATGAATGAATCGTGGGGGAGAGGACGAGGAGGGAGGGAAGCGAGCGGCGCGCACCCGTTGGGAGACCCTCGATGCCGAACGCCGCGGTCAGTCGGACGAGCTCGTACAGCTCCTTGGAGGAGAGCGAATCCTGCGCGCGCGCGCGCGGGAAGGGAGGGGTGGACGGGGCGGGGCGGTGAGTCGAAGGGTCGTCGCGATGGCGAAATGCGGGCGGGCGTCGATTCTGCGGTGGCCCGGGAGGACGCGCGTCCTTTCGCGCGCGCGGCGCACCTGCGTCTTGGACTTGACGAGATGCGACTCGAGCTTCTCGAATATCTCCGCCCGGACGTTCGCTTTCGACGCCATGGCGGCGATCGCCGGCCGTCGCGCCGTGGACCCGCGGGAATGCGCGCGCCCTCTCAATGATCGTCGCTGAAGCTGAGAGGTCGGATGCACTGCGAATGCGATTTCTGTTTTTTGCACTGGCCCGCGGGCGCTCGCATACAAATACGACGGCGCAGACTACGGACGCGCGCGTCGCTCAAAGCTCGTCGCGTCCCCCGCCGGCGTAATCATCTCCCACGTCCCTGCTCGCGAACGCCTCCCACGCCTCCCAATCGAACCCGGTCGCCTCCCGCTCCTCCATCGCGCCGTCCGCGCCGCCGAAGGCGTCCCAGTCCTCTCCGTCCGGGTTCATCCGGCGTCCCTCCGCCGCGGCGTTTAGCGCCGCCGTCTCCGCGTCGGTTGACGTTCCATATTCCGCGTCTTCTCCCTCCCCCCCCCCACCCTCCCCGCCGCCGAGGCTCGGATCCTCCACGTGCATCTTCGCGTTGTCCAAGAAATTCCACATCCCCGGCGACGACCCGATCCCCGTCCGTCGCAGCGGCGTCGTGTGCGCCAGGCACACGAGAATCTCCATCGTCTCCAACCACCGCCCGCGGCTGGACCACCCGTGCGCCTCTTTGAACATCTCGCGCGCCGCCGCGTCGTGCGCGGTCGAGTTGCCCGCGTCCGCGACGAACGGCCCGGCGCCGCCGCCCTGGCCCGCGTCGTCGGGTCCCATGAGCCCGACGAGTTCCGTCACGACGCCGCGTCGCAAGACCCCTTTCGACTCGAGCCAGACGACGCACTCCCACTCTTTCATGTCGCCGACGCTCGACTCGACGAGGTACACCTGCGGCGACTTCACGAACGCGATGATGCTCGCGGGCTTCCTCTCCGCGCCGGTGAACTGTAACCCGCGGGTTTTGTACCCTTTGGGGAAGAGCTGCACGGACGGTAAGCCGCGGACGTCGTACCGCGTCGCGGCGGCGCGGTACGCGTCGACGTCGATCTTCGCGACTCTGACGTCGCTGCCCGCGAAGTGCACGCCTACTTCGCGGTAAAAAGGCTCGAACTGCTTGCAGTGCCCGCACCACGGCGCGTAGAACTCGACGAGAACGTCGTAGTCGGCGTCGTTCACGTACGCGTCGATGGTATCGTCGGTGAGCTCCTGGACGTACGGCGCGAGCGCCGCGTCGAGCCCCGGCACCTCGCCGTTCACGTGCTCCACCGTGTTCACCGCGCCGAGGTATCCTGCGGCGGACGTGTCGATTGGCGATTGGTCAGTTCGAGATCGTATTAGATGACATGTCAACGTGTAGCGAATCAGAATTCGGGGAGAATTCGGGGATCGCGTGGGGCGCGTCGACGCGCGGACGTGTCGACACAGACGCGCCGCCGCCGCACCTTCGTATCGATTCGGCGCGAGCACGTTCGTCTCCCCCGTGTCCTCGTCCACGGCGTACCACTCGCCGCGTTTCAAGACGGTCACGAACGGCGCGTTCGTGACCCCGAACGTCTTCGCCAGCGGCTTGTTCGCGTCCACGTCGATCACGCCGAACACGAGCGGCGCGCTCGTGGCGGGATCGATCAGTCCGCGGAACGCGTCCGCCGCGCGTCGAAACTCCGGCTCGTACCCGGTGCAGAGCGCGCACCAGTCCACGGCGAAGACGACGACGACGGTGTGGTTGACGAGCGCGCTGAAGAGCGTCTGCGCGTCCATGTTGATGACCTGGTTGGGGTCGCTCGGCGACGGCGGCGCGAACGCGCCGGTGAGGAGCCCGTCCACGGTGATCCACTCCTTCTTCGTCGCGGACGATGCGGATGATGAGGATGCGGAGGACGCCTCGACCGACGTCGACGTCGCGGCCGCCGACGCGTCGTCCGCGGACGCGCGCGCGCCGCTCGGCGCGAACGCCGCGAGGACGATCACGAGCGCCGCGAGCAGCGGCGCGGGTCGTCGGAGGCGTCGCATCGTGCGCGGCGGTGTGGCGCGTCGATCGGGGCCGCGGGGCGGCGATCGCGATCGCGCGCGAAAATAAAAAAATCTCGAAAGGCGCAGGATGCCGACTCGCGCGCGCGCCTCGCGCGGCGTGGGCAGATCCTGAGACGCGGGGACGCGCGGAGCGAGTCGATCCTCCGCCGACGCCGCGCGCGATCTGATCCTCGACGCCGCGACCCCGCGCCGCGATGGAGTGCTTCTTCCCGAACGGCGCGCCGTCGTGCTGGGGCGCGCGCGATCGCCAACCGTCGGTTCCCTCCTCCTCGGGCGCGTCCTCCTCGTCGTCGTCGTCGTCGTCCGTCTCCACGGATTACGGCGCGTCCTCCACCGCGGAGGACGTCACCGCGGGGTTAGACCTCACCGGGCGCGTGTACGTCGTCACCGGCGGCACCGGCGCGATCGGCGCGGAGGCGTGCCGCGTCTTGATCTCCCGCGGCGCGTCCATCGTCCTCGCCGCGAGAGACGCGAAGCGCGCGAACGCGACCGTGGCGTCCATCGAGGGCGCCGCCGCGAAGGTCATCGTCCAGACGTGCGACCTCGCGAGCATGCGATCCGTCCGCGCGTTCGCGGCCGCGTTCTGCGCGCTCGCGATGCCGCTGCACGGCATCCTGTGCGCCGCGGGGATCGTCGCGGAGCCTCTCTTCGACCTCACCGAGGACGGCGTCGAGCGACACTTCGCGATCAATCATCTCTCGCACTTTCTCCTCGTGCACGAGCTCACGAACGAGCTCGTGCGCACGGCGGCGTCGTCCGGGGTCCAAGGCCGCGTCGTCCTCGTCGCCTCCAGCGCGCATCACTTCGCGTATCGCGTGCGCAGAGGCGTGACGAAGCCGAGCCGCGGCATCGACTTTGCGAACTTAAACGAACCGTTCGGCTACACCGCGCGCGGCGCGTACGGACAGAGTAAGGTGCGTTCTATACACTGGTTCCCATACGACCGCGTTGGCGTGGTGAACGCCGATCCTTAAGGACTTTTGCCGGCGCGTCTCTCCGCTCATCCCTCGCTTTCAATCCCCGACCTCGATGCCTTTCAACTCCACCTGACGCCTTTCAACTCCACCCTCGACCCTCAGCTCGCGAACGTGCTCCACGCGTGGCGGCTCACGGAGAGGCTGCGCGCCGCGGGCGCGAACGTCGCCGCGTTCGCGACGCACCCGGGCGCGATGGACGCGGAGTTGAGAGCCGCGTATCTGGATTTCCCCGGCGGCGGGATGGTGTTTCAGATGATAAAAGGCATCGCGACGAAGACGGCGGCGCAGGCGGCGGCGACGCCGACGCTCTGTCTGGCGAGAAACGTCGGGACCGCGCGCGGGTGTTACTACGCGGACTGCGCCCCCGCGCGGAGCTCGCTGCCGAGCAGAGACCCGAGGCTCGCGAAGGCGCTGTGGCGCGAGAGCGAGCGGATGTGCGGGCTGGCGGAGGGGGAGGCGGCGCCGGCGTTGTCGCGCGCGACGAGCGCGGCGGACGTCGACGCGGGCGCGTTGGACGACGCGCCAGAGTCGGACGGCGACGGCGACGGCGACGGCGACGCGACCGCGCCGCTGTTGGTGCAAATACCGGTTGGACTGTCCCCGGTGAAGGTGACGCCGAAGAAGAGCGACAAGTGGGGGCTCGGCGCGGCGTGAGCGCGAGCGCCGCCGCGGCGAAAGAGGCGCATCGCGTTCTGTCGTTCGAGATCGCATCATATTTGTTTTACATTTCCGATCGCTTCCTACCCTACTCCCCGAACCCCACGGCGATCGCATCCGGAGCCGTCACGGCTGCGGTCTTCTCGTGCGTTATGTACAGATGCGCGGCGCCTCGCGAGAGACGCCGCGAGCGACGCCGACGCGTAAAAAATCGAACTTTGTTCTTCCCCGCATCCGTCTTTTTCCTCGCCGAAAGAAAAAAAACAAAAAGAAGCGCCGCGAAAACGCGACGCGTCTCACCCCGAGCAGCTCGGGCTCGGCGTCTTCGGCGGTCGGAACCCCCCCGCGCTCTGCCCGCCGCCGCCCGCGCTGGCGTTGGCGTTGGCGCACGCTTCCTCGTACTTGAAATACGCGTCCTGGATCCCTCGCACGACGTTCACGAGCGGCACGTTAAACGTCTTCCCCGTCCCGCGCGGCTTGTACTTTTGCACCTTGCGCTCCCACTCCCACGGGAGTTTCTTTTTCCGCGCGTACTTTCTCTCGAAGATGTCGCGCGTCTCGTCCGCGAGCGTCCGCATGCGCGCGCGCGTGTCGAAGTTCACGTCGCTCCACTCGATGTCGGGGTTCAACACGAACACGAAATCCTCCGCGCCGCCGCCGTCGGCGCCGCGCGTCGACGGCGGCGTCGTCGCGTTTTTTCGCCTTCCGCCGCGTTTCGACGCGTTCGCCGCCGCCGCGCGCGCGCGCTCCTCCTCGCATCGTTCGCGTCGCAGCTTCGCGTGCTCGACTCTCGCGGCGTCGCACGCTCCCGCGTCCACGCCCTTCACCGGGTTGAGCTTCGGGTGGTGACCGACGAACAGCACCTTCCGCTTGTTCGTCCGCGGCTGATGCAGGTTCATGCGGATCCACGTCGTGAGCGCCGCCCACTCTTTGTCGTTTTCGCACTTTTCATCCCCGGCGCACAGCCGCGCGTCGTCGTCGTCGTCGTCGTCCTCGCCGCCCGCGTCGCTCTCGTCCGCGTCGTCGTCCTCGATCTCCGCGGCGGGTCGCTTCGCGCCGCGGCGCGCGGGGGATACCGCTGCCTTCTCCGTCGTCTTCGTCGATCCATCCGGCGCGGCGGCGATCGCGCGCGACGCGACGGACTCGCGGCCGGCGGCGACGAGCGGCGACAGCTGTGCCGCCGCGGATGATTTCGGCGTCGGCGTCGGCGTCGCGCGCGGCGTCGGCCTCGCCCTCGTCGGCCTCGGCGGCGTCCCGAACGCGAGGGCGGCCGCCGCGCCGCCGCGTTCGTCGTCCGTGTGGTACCCGTGCTCTTCCATCGCGTCGAGCATCGTGCTCGAATGTTTGTTCTTGCGCTCCTCGGCGTTGCGCCAGGTCTTGTGGCGCTTCACGTAGTTGCGCGCACCCGCGACGGGCTCTGATGAACGATGAGTGGTGGAAAACGGTATCGAAGGAGACGGGCGGGCGTCAGACGAAAATTATTTACAGTTATTTCGCGCACGGGTTTTTAGTCTCGAAAAAAGCACACGTGCGGTGCGGGGTTTTTCGAGGAAAATGGCGCGGCGGGCGCCGGGTCGGTGGGCGCCGGGTCGCGCGCGCACCGTCGACGCCGACGTTCGTCGCGAGCTTCCGCGCGACGCGCGTCTTCGCGTCCTCGCGTCTCTTCGCGTTCTTCGGTCTTCCGTCCGCGTCGTTCTTCAGGTGTCGCAGCGCCTCGACGCACATCTCCATCTCCGGCGAGGCGCAGATCTCCCCCGGCGAGGCGCCGAGCCAGGAGGTGTCCGCGTCGTCCGCGTCCGACTCCGCGCCCCCGTGAGGCGGCGTCCGAACGCTCTCCGGCGGCGACGGCGGCTCGAGGAGCGCCGGCAGCGTCGCGTACATCTGCGGAGGAGGCGATGTGGGGTTGGGACGTCAGCGCGCGCGTCGCGTCGCGCGTCTCCGGCGCGCGCGTCGGACCGGTGATTCGGGTACACGAACGAAGCGACGACGTTACTCAGACAAAGAGACGTCGTTCGGTCGCTCCGGCGTACCTTCGCGAGCGCGGCCTCGACGTCGCCCTGGAGCGCGCTCCACGACCCCAGCGTCTGCGGGAGCGCGCTCGTCAGCATGCCGTTGTTCTGCGCGAGAACGCGCAGCGCCGCGGCGCGGGACGCGATGTATTGGCGCTCGTAGATCTCCTGCATGTTTGTTTTCGTTCGGACGGTACGAGGGCGTCGCGACGACGCGTTTTCCGTCTCCGGGGAAGCGGGGTCGCGACGGGCTCGAGACGCGCGCGCGCGCGAGTCCGCGGCGACGCGAGTCGTGCGCGAAGGCGTGCGAGCGCGATACGCGCGGCGCGAGCGTCGAGCGCGTGTGGACCGCGCGCGTCGTGCGGATGGCGAATGGACGGAAGTCTGCGTCGGGGAGCGGTTTGGGCTTTTCGCGAATTCTCGCGGTAAAAACGGACGGCCGGCATAAAACCATAAACCGAAAAAAAGCGCCGCTTGGTTTTGCTGTTATGCGCTGGCGAAAAGTTTGCCACGCCAGACTAGTTGCCCTGTCGCGCGCGCGTACTTTCGCGTCCCCTATCCTCGCTAAAATATCCTGCTAAAATGTCGCATAAGTACAGCTGTACAACGCTGCTTTCGTGATCTCTTTGTACCGAAATCTGGATGGTATCGTCGATGCAGTTGTTTTTGTGGACCCCTCCGACAAAAAATGTCGTGGTGTCGAAGCCAACCACGAAAACTTGGGCACCTCCAGTCCAGTCTCGACTCTCGAGCGATCTCGCCGCGCGTCGTCGCTCCGTCGCCACTTCGTCCCGCGCGCGGGCGTCGCGCGACGGCCGCGCCCTCCGCGACGCGCCCTCCGCGATGGGCGGCGGACGCGGCCCGAACAGCGGCGGCGGCCGGCGGAGCGGCGGCGGCGGGCACCAGGCCGGGCAAGGCGAGATGGCCGCGCGCAAGCTGAAGCTCGCGAAGGAGAAAGCGGCAAAGGCGAAAGCGCGCGCGGAGCGCGGCGGCGGGAGAGACGGCGGCGGAGGACGCGGCGGCGGCGGCAGAGGCGGCGGCGGCGGCAGAGGAGGCGGCGGCAGAGGCGGCGGCGGTCGCGGCGGCGGCGGATCGCCGGCCGCGGAGCAGGTCGCGATGACCGCGGCGAACCAAGCCCTCATCGGCGGCCTCCTGAACACGCTCGGCGGCGGGTCGCAACTCCAGCGCCATCACCAACCTCACGACGCCGACGCGACGCGTCACGACGACGCGTCCGAACACAGAGCTGACGTGGACCCGGAGGACGTCGAACGCAAGGCGTGGCAGGCGCTCGAAAAGAAAGGCTTCACCGCGGAGGTAGTCTCGAGAGCGATGCGAGCCACCGCGCGCGCGGTGGTCGTCGAGGGCGACCGAAAAGAAGCGTTCAACGAGCAGAAGCGCCGACGCGTGCACCGCGGGCTCGATTGGCTCATACTCAACTGCGACGAGTCCGAGCTCCCGAGCGCGTTCACGGAGGAAGCGCAGAAAGAGCGGAAGAAGCGCGGCGGCGGCGGGAAGAAGAAGAAGAACGAAGGCGACGACGACGACGACGACGACGCCGACCCCGTCGCCGCGGAGATCGCGCGCGCGTTGCGTCTCGCCGGGTTCCCTCCCGCCGCCGCCGCCGCCGCCGCCGCCTCCGCGAACGGCGACCAGTGGCGCGCGCTCGCCGACCTCTGCGCCGCGCTCGGCCCGGGGCGCGACGACGCGTTCGACGACGCGTCGGACGCGTTGGAAGCCGCGGGCGCGGGCGCGGGGCTCTCTCGCGACGCCATCGCGGAGATTCTTCGAAACGCGCAGGCGCGTTCTGTACACTGGTTCCCATACGACCGCGTTGGCGTGGTGAACGCCGATCCTTGAGGACTTTCTCTCCCGGCGCATCTCTCCGCCCGCCCCTCGCTTTGAATCCCCGACCTCGACGCCTTTCAACTCCGTTTCTGACGCCTTTGAACTCCACCCCGACGTTCGCTCGTATGGAACGACCCTCAGCGCGACGAGCTCGGCGCTTTGCCGCGGGAGAAGCACGCGCCGCGCGGGTACGCGCCCGCGCAGCTCCGCGCGACGCTGCAGTTTGAAGTCCCGGGCATCGTCCAGCTCGGCGCGAAGGTGGAGTACCTCGCGAAGCTCGAGGTATCGTTCGCGGGAAGAGACGCGTACCCGTTCGAGATTCCGACGATGCGCTTTACGCATCCGGCGTTAAGGTTCGAGGAAGCGGCGGCTGTGAATCGCGCGCTGCACGCGTTCGCCGCGACGAAGTGCGGGAGTCCGCACGTGCGCGACGTCTTGGAGTGGTGCGAGGGCGACGACGTCCCGGAAGCGGTCGAGCGCGCGAGGGAGGCTGCGCGCGCGGAGGTTCTCGGCGCGAGCGGCGGCGGCGGCGGCGGCGAGACGGGGGGAGGGCACCTCGCTCGGACGCTGAGTAAGCTGCGGTTCAGCGACAAGGCGGCGGACGACGAGGAGGAGCGCGCGGAGGCGCGGCGGAAGCAGCTGATGGAGATCAACGCGAGGGAGGAAGCGGCCGCGGCGGCGGCGGCGGCGGAGAGACCGTCGTCGGAATCGTCGGCGCCGTCCGCGGCGACGGGCGGCGGCGGCGGCGGCGGCGGCGGGGGCAAAAAGAAGACGCCGCGCGCCAACCCGGCGCCGCCTCCGATGGTCGACCGCCCGTCTGCACACGCGCCCAGCGCGGACGAGCGCGCGGCGGCGACCGAACGCCGCCGCGCGCTCGCCGCGGAGCACGCCAAGACGTCCCGCGGCGCGCGAGGCGGATCA